GTATGGAAACTGCCTGACCAGCCTCTATGGCCTCGATGGTAGAACCAGAACCAGACGAACCTGCAGACAGTGAGTTGTATGCCTCTAAGAAAGCATCAGTCATTTCTTGGCCCGTCCAACCAGTGGTGGGACCACTGAACGAAATGTAATAGTCCTCCTGCACTGATGGGCTGCTTGGGGACTCCGTACTCAAAGACAAGGCAACAGGATCGATTCCTTGGATCTCATCGTTGTACTTCAGAAGGAACTTGGCCTCCGACGATGTTAGGTCTTCGTCCAAGGCCTCGGGGCTGGAGGTGACCGTGAATTCCAGGTAGAAACCACCATCAGGTATGGATACTGCCTGACCAGCCTCTATGGCCTCGATGGTAGAACCAGAACCAGACGAACCTGCAGACAGTGAGTTGTATGCCTCTAAGAAAGCATCAGTCATTTCTTGGCCCGTCCAACCAGTGGTGGGACCACTGAACGAAATGTAATAGTCCTCCTGCACTGATGGGCTGCTTGGGGACTCCGTACTCAAAGACAACGCAACAGGATCGATTGCTTGGATCTCATCGTTGTACTGCAGAAGGAACTCGGCCTCCGACGATGTTAGGTCTTCGTCCAAGGCCTCGGGGCTGGAGGTGACCTTGAATTCCAGGTAGAAACCACCATCAGGTATGGAAACTGCCTGACCAGCCTCTATGGCCTCGATGGTAGAACCAGAACCAGACGAACCTGCAGACAGTGAGTTGTATGCCTCTAAGAAAGCATCAGCCATTTCTTGGCCCGTCCAACCAGTGGTGGGACCACTGAACGAAATGTAATAGTCCTCCTGCACTGATGTTCTGGTGGTAGCTTTTTCCGTTGGTTCAAAGGTAGGTTCAGGGGTAGGAGTCTGTGTTTTTGTAATAATTGGTGTTGGTTCAAAGGTAGGCTCTGGGGTAGGAGGATATGGTGTTGGTTCAAAGGTAGGTTGGGGGGTAGGAGTCTGTGTTTTTGTAATTGTTGTTGGTTCAAAGGTAGGCTTTGGGGTAGGAGGATTTGGTGTTGGTTCAAAGGTTGGTTGGGGGGTAGGCGATTTTGTAATTGTGGTTGGTTTAAATGTAGGCTCTGGGGTAGCAGGATTTGGCATTGGTTCCAACGTTGGTTTGGGGGTAGGAGGAGATGTTACTGGAATTGAAGTCCCACCTTTGGGCAACACACCCAAGGGAGATTTGCTCCCACTCTCACTGCCTGCATTTCTGTTGCTGCATGCGTTTGATAATGAATCTGTTGCAGCAAACATCAGCATACCAGCACATGACTCTGGTGAGAGCATGTCTGTTGTTGGAACCATCGATGCTGGTGGCGCTGAACTGGTTTTAGCAGACGGTGACATTGTTTCATCTGGGCTCAGAGTTGACCCAGCACTAGACAGCGTAGTAGGGAAATGATATGGTTCAGAACCACCAACGGGAGCGGGAACCAGAACTGGCTTGTTGGACACTGCAGAATTGGCAGCGGGAGGGGTGGTGTTATCTTCTTGTGAGGGGCTGTTCATTGTGCTGCTAGAATGTATGCCGTCCTCTCCAGATGGTATCATTGGTTGACCTTCCATAGATGGGGGGTTGCCATTGATTCCATCGCCAGCTGATGGCAGCGATGGTGCCCCAAAGGATGGGTCGGGATTTTTGATCACTGCAATGTGTGGTGGTAAGTTTTGCTGATTGGTTAGCTGTGATGCTTCCTGTTGGCCACTATTGCTAGGAGCTTGGTCCCTGTTGGCTGGGGAATGTCATGGACCCATTGCTGCCGACGGGAGTGTGGGATTTCTGCCTAAATGTTTGGTGGGACCAGAGCTCATTGGGCCAGCATCAGTTGGACTAACTGTTGATGGTGTGCCCGTTGCTACCTGACTGGGCGAGACAATCACAAACGAAGGCAAGCTGTTTGCATCACTGGGACTTGATACAGCTGATGGTGCCAAGGCAGGAGAAATGGATGTTTGGACCTGCTGCATAGAAGCACTTGCTGGTCCTTGGTTGGGAGTTGGCTCTGGGAATTTGGCTGTTGCAGCTGCAGGATATGTTGGTGCCAACTCAACATTTGGAGAGCTGGGTGCTACATCTTGCTGTACAGGGGCCCCAGTGTTTGTTATGGTGTTGGCTGTAGGGTTTGAAGCTTTGAGTGCAGTGGCTGTGGGAGTGGCAGCAGTTGTTGCTAAAGGAGTTAGCACCTGTGGAGATTCTGGTTGATCTTCTTCACGATCATTCATGTTATTATTCCAAACGGTATCAACATTTGGCAATAGCTCAATCAGATCACCAGGTTCTAATTGATGGGTTTGATCTGGTAGAAGCGCCACGAACAGGATTTCAACTGGTGGCTCTTGTTGTTCTTGATCTGCTGTTTTCGAGCTGTCTTGTGTTGGATTGTCAGTCTTGAGGATGGGTTGTATTGCGTGTGTGAACTGGTCAACAAAGTCATCAACGGCACTAACAGCATCAAGTTGTGGACTCCCTTCCGTGTTGGTGCCGAAAAGTGGGTCTGTGTTGGAGCATCCAGCGCAATGAACATCGGCAACCCAAATGGTATTGGAAAAAAAAAAAAATCTTTATAACGGATATGGCCCCAATGGACGGATCATCACTGTGCTGCAGCCGAAGCTTTGGGTAACCGCTCCCGGCCGAAGCGGGGATTGGTTTCACAGGAGACCACCACTGGTTCCCTCACGGCACCACACTCCCTAGGGGAGATGTTGGCAATTTAAAGTTACATGTAAAGTAATAGGCAATATTTCGTGTGGATTTGCCGGACAATATATTCCTAACTGAATTTGTGGTTTTGGCCGAATGGAATTCAGGGAGAGATTACTTGGCTGGGTTGGAAATGGAGGGAAGAAAAGGAGGGACGAGAAGCGGACGCAGGAGGGAATTGGAAGGATGGGAAGTGGAGGTCCTGCATCAATTACCCAGTCTCAAGCTGTGTGGGTAACTCTCTTCAGGACTGGTTCCATGTGTTGATCCATTGTCGGATTGATGCCGTGGGCCATTGGGGTCTTGTGTTGATTGGTGTTTTGAGAAGCCATGCCTGTTCCGTTCTGAGTTTTCCGGTGTATTTGTCATATGGCAGCTGAAGTTCATGGATAACCTTTCGGTTGGCTGCCTGTGCCTTGGTTTGTGCGTCTTTGCCATGCCGATCATGATTCCTGGCCTCCCAGAGTTCGAACAACTGGTTGAGCAATTCTTGAATAATCCCTGTTAGCCAGGTTTGGCCATTTTTCTGATGTGTTTTGAGATTGCATTACTTAAGGTGTTGATCCTGGCGTTGCGCCCACTGTTTGGATAGTCGGCCCTTGAGGAGCTGATCCCATCCGATGGCTGCTTGTGCGTTTGCGATATCGTCAACACTGTCATCGTATTCAATTCCTGTGGTATCTTCTCCATCGAGTAATTTTTGGAGTGCTGAGAAGAAGAAAGTGTTTGTAGCATTGTGTGAGTGTTGTGCTTGTCTGTGTATTGCTTGAGTGCCTTCTTCCATGCCGTTCGTTCTGATTGTCGTTTGGGGCATCTCAGGACGTGTTCTCTGTTTTTTTCTGGGGCACCACAGGATGCGCATGCCATGGGATATTTGGGGTGGTATTTGTTGCCACGTTTACCGACGGGGTGCCAATTGAAAAGGTACTTGGTGAGGGAGGTGCGATGGTGATCAAAGCGATTGAGTGCCCTCCCATGGCATTTCCAGTCGATATCTTCAAATGTGTCGCTGTACCACTCATGTTTATTCATGAGAAACTGTTTGTGGTGAGGCACCGATCCTGCCAGTTTGAGTTCGTGTTTCAGATTTTGTGTGATGGTTCCACCTTGAAGATTGAGCTGACACCCACTCGTTGGAATAATTGGGACTTGTGTGTGGTCGAAGGTTGGGTGGTCCACCAACCATTTGTTGGCTAGGCCGTCGGCGTCGACATTGAGTTGGGCTTCCAGCATTAATTCATCATATGGTTTCTCATCGTCCTGATGGCCTTTGATGTGTTTGATTTTAGGGATGGAAGTGGCCTGTTGGATTTGTTGTAGAGGTTGTCGAATTTCGGCGATAATGTCCCACTCAGTGGATAAGGTACTGTTTGGTAAGATCCTGTTGAATTTGGTGTATTTCACTGTGACCTCTACCATTGATTTGTTATCAAAGAAGCAGCCATGCCTGTGGATTGGTATGTCTGTTGAGTGAATCGTGGTCATGTGGTGGAGGAATCAAAAACCGGACAACATCCCGTATCCTTCGGCTAGGTATGAGTTCAGTTGGTAACAAAATGCCGGACCGTTGCACTGGGCCAAGCGGGTACCTTGGGGGTCACTGAGGATCCAACCAAAAGATCCCTTACCCTTGGGAGCTGACCCATCACATGCCAGAATGCAAGCTTTCTTAGCAAGAGCTGTCCAAACCTCAGTTTCGGTAACCAGAAAGTGTAAGTCCCGGAGTAGATGCTGTTCCCAGGCGTCAAAAGTAGGAATGAGTGTGTTGATTTATGTGTGTGTTTCTGGCTTCTGTTGCTGTATGACATTCTCATAACCCGTCATTTGAAGTGTATAGGGTCTCACTTTGTAATCACACGGGGCCGCAGTTTCAGGTGGAGTGTTGACAATGCCAGAAGGTGTCTGGTCGAAATCGTATCGGATGCTCTGATGCATGGTCCATCCCTCGGGAGTGTGACAATACATGTGATCGGAGATTTCCGTGTCGGATCCAGGGTCGTACAAGGCAGGCCATCGTCGTCGGAGTTGCGTTGCGGGGAGTAGCCAGGTGGTAAGGTGGTGTTCGGTTTTGAGATATTTCTTCTTCCTGGACGATGTGTAACAGAAGTAACCCAGTGCCCGTCTCCATGCTTTCCAGGCTGTCTCGTTTGGTTTGGCTTGCTTTACTCGTAAGTGGTTGCAGGTGCTGAAGGTTTTGTCGAAATCTCCAGAGTACATGGCAGGGTCAATGGTGTCACCGGCCGCATTACAAATATCCGAGAGAAAAAACACATTGAGGTACATGCGACAGTAATTGATGCGACGAATTTCGCATGGCTCAAAATAAGCTTTGCCTGTGTTCTTGCCGCTGGTGTGGGTAGCTTGTACCACTACTGACATGATTGCTTTATCATTGGTTCTTTGTGCCTTAGGAACGTAGGGGTTCTTAAGTTCTAGATTTCCGTCAATGGATCCCAAAAACTCTTGAAGGGATTGAAGCCACTTGGATTCGAGGTGATGAGTCAATGGAATCTGGGGGGTTCCCAGAACAGACCAACTCACACCTGCACAGAACTGCAACCATGCCACGGTGATGTGAAGGAGTTTTCCCTGAGGACTGTTTGGGAGCGCCAGCTTTTGATGAATGGCGGCATTGGCCGTACCCCTGATCGTCATACAAATGAAAGAGACCGGCACCGCCCATGTATTTTGGCCCATGCAGAATTGCTTTTGGGGTGTTTGGGTTAAAACCCATTTTGGACGTGAAGGCCCGTTCGACTTTTCTTTGGGCTTTGTCTAGTTCATCGAAGGTAAAATAGGCCATTGGAAGGGGATAAGGAGACACTGGGCCGGTAGATGGTCAATATAGCAGGTGAGCTTCCTTCGGAGAAAGGTGGCTCGTTTTGACAATGCGGCAAAATTCCTTGCACTTTTTGGCAGTGATATCTAACTGGGTCTTTTTGTCAGCCGGACATTCGTAGCATCCCAGATACCTTGGGCTTTGGTGTTGGCCCATTGCTTGATTGTGGTGCCTTCATCGTCGGAGTCAGCATCATTTTCGTGGAGTTGGAGGTCTGGTAGATCAGGTTTGTCAACAAGAATCGGTTTGCCGTCATTTTCAAAGATGAATTCCATGGCATGAAAGCCACACTTGGTAAGTTCTAATTTCTGATTGCAGGTGAGAAGGAGGTTGTTCCAGAGCTGACTATCAGCTTGTGCCTGTGCTATCAGAGTTTCCATTGGTGGTTGTGGGTCTTGTCAAACTGGTTGGTGGAGTTCCGGGTGTCGTCTACGAAGCCGACGATCTTGATTGTTGTTGTTAGAAGCTTGTCCGGGCTCACGTATGTTGCCCTTGTGCTTTGTTTTCGTAGATGTCGAAAGGGTACTGCAATAAACGCCAGTATGTGGGTGAGTTTCCACTCCCTTGACCTGTGCAAACCAAGGGTAAGCCTGACTTTGTTGGACGAATTCTTCTGAGACACCAAGCTGCGTTTCAAATGATACCGAGCTTCTGCTAACGTCTTCCCTTGTACCACACACACCTTGCGGTGCATACCATATTTTCGACTTGCAACATTGGCCAGAAAACAGGGAATACGGTCATAGCAAGAACTGGCGTCATTGTCGAAGTGAGTAAGTTACATCTTGTCAATCGAGTCAATTCATATTCCAACTCGCGGATAAACACTGCATCCAGAGCTTCCTTTCCAGGCTGGGATCCGAACTGGTGTTCGTTGACGTATCCGTTGTTGCAAGCATGGTGAAGAACTGCCCGCCATTTAACACTCAAGAGCAGATTGTAATCGGCTTCCATTAAATGGATGACTCGCAGCCGATGGATTTTGGGGCAGCCGGGGTTCTTCTCGAGCATGGCATTGACGATGGTTTTCCAAGAATCGAAACTGAAACCAAATTGGAGACAATAGTTGAGAAGAGCAAGGTGACCATTGAGGATGGAGTCCCTCTTATCCTTCAATGCATCAGCCTCAGGTGTGTTGTCTTCGTATGAATGTTTTGCTGTGTATGCTTTGAGATGCCCTAGGTGCATGTTGCTGCCTGGGGATGTGCTCGTCCTCTCATTCCAGACTTTGATTTTGCCCAGATAATCTTCCTTGCTGATTGTGGGGGAAATGAAATCCTGTCCGAAACATATTGCATTGGAGAGCTTCCAGGAATATCTTGTTAAGTTCGTCAAGATCGTCGGTGGGGAGGTACCATTAAGAATTTGATCAGCTCTCTGACATGTCCCAGTGAATTCCATGCTGAAGTCAGTTGGAGGATTCGTCAGATTGCAATTTTTTGATTGTCCAAAGTGTTGTCGGTTGCGCTCTTGTAAAAGTGCCTCAATTCTTCTGGGACATCCACTTGCCTCCAGTGTTGACACTCCTTGGGATTTTCGTTGGGGTTTTCGGGGACTAGGAGATGCTTGAGGCCACCAGACGGGATCTTGTTCCGGATGATTCGAAGCTTGTCGAATATTGTGTTGGAATCCTCTGCTCTCTGGATGTGTTTTAGAGCTTTGACTAACTTTTTGTCTCCCTTTTTCACGTGCATCCTTGATCAGCTGTTTTAGGTGTGCTTTCCGAAGAGGCTTGTTCTTCAATTCTTCTTTCATGGCTGTGGTGAAGTCTTTGGTAGCCTGCCTTTTGGGCTTTCTTGCACTCCTCGACAGATGTTGGTAGATCGTATCCCACTGAGTCAAGTTTGTTTTTGATGTTCTCAATTTGATCTGAAAGATCTATGTTGGTTGTCATATGGCTGTAGACTGTGTTGAGCAGATCTTTGATGGTTCTCAGCCTGACAAGTTCTGGGGAGTACGGTGCATCCCGGTATTTAGGCAGGCGCTTCCCAGCATAGATGCAACCCAAATGGTATTGGTAAAATTGTCCTCTTCAGATGACTTAACCTGCATCATTTGAACACCATTCTCTGGAATGTAGGGCACATCACACGGGTCAACCAGACCGTTTGCTGTATTGGTGGAATTGGCAGTGACGTTGTTGTAAACCTGAGCAAAAATATTTTCCAATTCTTCCTTATTCTCTAGCAGCAATGCACTGGTGGAAGGAGCAACACTGGTGCTGTTGTGATCACTGTTAGATTCTGATGAAGAAAATGCTACCAGCAGGACACCTTCCTTGAGATCCATGGATTCCGTACTGTCATTACAGCCACCAGGACGATCGGTATTATTGTCACTACCATTGCTGATTCCTGGGACAACTCCGTTTGTAGAGACAGCCACTGCTATCGCAGCTGTTACAGCAAGCCCGATCATGGTCGGTGTTGAGAGAGCAGAGATAGCAGCCGACATGGGCGAAGCACCCGCTCTAGCAGCAGCGGACTGTCCAGCCATGACTCCTGCTCCTGCACCAATAGCTGCAGACTGGGAAGCTGCAATTGCCATGTCTTTAACATGAGCATCCTTCTGGGGTGGTATTGGTCCATCATCATCATGATCATCCACCCTTCTGGCTAAACGGAAAAAATTCAAGCAATAGCTCAGGAGAAGCCTGGGCCAAGTACAGATACTGTAGACAATTTCGTAGGCACCGCTGTAAACATACTCAAAAGCAATGGTCTGTATAGCACTGTTTCGGATATCTCTTTCCATATCAACACTGTTGAAGGAGTATTGAAAGTTGCTGGGAGACTCACTCATATCACCCGCATTAGTATCCTTTGGGTCATTCCATGGGTCATCCACAGAACTATCATCATCACTGTCTTCATCAGCTGGTGCTTTGTTGCCATCTTCCATCATTGTAATCTCCTTTGTATTGTCCCTCACATACATGGGGTCATCAGGACCAGCCAAAGAAGTCTTAGTGGATAGCAATAAATCTGATCGAAAAGGATCTGCAGGAGCATCTCTCAAGGTGGAATCGGGAGGATCACAATCCGGACCAAGTACAGCGATCTCTTCTTCCTTCATCGTCTCTTCTGCTTCAGCCGAGGTTTTGGTTTATGCTATAGTATGCCGGTAGTCAAGATATAGTATGCCGGTAGTCAAGATATCGACAATAGAATGCTTCGTTTTCCTTTGCTACAATGAACACAAGGAATTTTGCGGTTGTGTGCGTTTACTATGGCACCAGATCGTGAAGGAAGACTGCCAACAAGGTGGCTGAAAAGCGTCAAAAAGTGCATCTGCAAAAGCAATTGCGCGCGATGGTCATAAATATTGTGCCAAGTTGAAGCCAGGAGAAGGCCGACCTGGCAAGAAGGTGATTCCTCAGAAAAGTCATATCTACACGCAAAAGCCATCTAATCATCGCTTATATCGACCGAAATGACAGATTGATATTTAATGCTATCCATATGTTATGTCATAATGAGTAGTGTCCGACTCGCCAACCTTTCAATTTGCACACAGTAGGAGCAATTGACTTAAGCCTCACTTTCATGTCGGTATTAAAGGGCTTTCCTTTGGTGTTTGAGATTCAAAGCTCTCTAAAGCTTATCTGCATCATCAGTTCGAATTACTCAGTGTAAAGTATCAATTGATTTTGGTCAAAGTGATCGTGTTCTCATGCAAGTACCGGTAAGTGTCATAGCAACAGCCCAGTAAGCGGTATGCATAAGTGTCACTGTCAAGCAACAGCACTTCTTGCGGTAGCAACAGCCTGGTATTTACTTTACCGTACTATTCTACGACATTGAGTTTCTAAATCCGACATTTACGACATTTACGACATCTACGACATATGTAGACTTAAGCAATCCCTTGGTACAACTGTAAACGACTTTTCCGGAAGTGTTCCCGGTAAGCGGTATGCATAAGTGTCACTGTCAAGCAAGAGCACTTCTTGCGGTAGCAACAGCCTGGTATTTACTTTACTGTACTATTCCGTTTTGCACTCTCTAATTCTAATATTTCCTCTGTCCTCGAAAGGAACATTCATGATTTAATGATGGGCATGGCTTACATAACAGTAGCTTCAACAAGTTCAGATACTGGGACGATGAATACCACTGAGTCACTGAGTCACTGAGTATACTTAGACACTTTGACTACATGTATGTCATAATTATTTCACACGCCGTATGTACTGTGTGATCTCGAAGCTGTGATGTACATTTGTGGTGGTTGGGGGAATAATACTTAGGGGAACGAAAGGAGTTGCTTTGAGCCTCCCTGGAGCGTTCCTCAATGGTGCATGAAACCGACCCTAAAATAGGGTCGGATTTAGGGTCGGATTCCCTTTAGGGTCGGGTTTCGAAACCGACCCTAAAAATAGGGACGTTTTCTGAAAAATAGGGACGGTTTCTGAAAAACCGTCCCTAATTTAGGGTCGGGTTTCGTTTTAGGGTTCGGTTTGAAAAACGTCCCTAAATAGAAACGGGACTGCCTGGTAAATACATTGAAAATGCACCAATATTAGGGTCGGGTTTCGAAACCGACCCTAAAAATAGGGACGTTTTCTGAAAAATAGGGACGGTTTCTGAAAAAACGTCCCTAATTAAGGGACGGGTTTCGATTTAGGGTCGGGTTTCGAAACCGTCCCTATATTTAAGGACGGATTCCCCCAAGCCGACCCTAAATTAGGGTCGGATTTAAAGTCATGCACGATTGAGGAACGCTCCTGTTGAACCGGTTTCTTGATGGCGTCAGCGATGGTGGCAAGAAGGCCTAGCCTCGCCCCCCTCGCTCCTTAACGTATCTATTTAGTATTTATCTCTTTAGAAGGCACCTTTGAGTTTTGGCACCGACAATGACACGATCAATCTGACACTGACTGCTTGATACCAGAGGTATCAATGCTTTCAGCAGTGTTGGTAAGATTAAAAAGCTATCTGGTCGGAGCCTTGTGAAGTTGATTGTTGGGTTGGGTTCTTCTCGAGATGAAGCATTGTTTTACCAGTGTACTTGTACCAGTAGATTCATTTTCTTGCTAGCTGTAATGAATGCACGATGTACGACAATAGAATAGAATAGAATAGAATGAATCATTCGATCGGCTCGCCACATCATTAAGTTACTTGTTTGCGTTTATTGGAATCTTGGCCTAACTTCCGTTTGGCTTTCCCACTCGATATTGATGCTAAATCATTTCTGTCGAGGATGGATGCCTCGCTCTCTCTCTCGGTGTGTGTAGGTGTGTGCAGTTGTGTGTAGGTGTGCGTAGGTGTGTGTGTGGCTGTGTGCCCAGCAGTTAGTGCAATCGAGCCATCGTAACTTCCGAGCTTTTAATAGCTAGTTGTCTCTACAGCTAGCTGTCTAGTAACAATCGGAGCAACAATCGCATTGAATCTTCCCCGTGGTACAGTCTGCTACCAAATACTTCAATCTGGACGTTTGTCGAAGGGCACAAACTTCCGCTGGCATGTCCCCTGAGAGACTGGTTCCATCCAATTGCAGACGTTCCAAGTTAGGCAAGAGCCCCAACTCGGAAGGCACGGCTCCTTTGAGACCACTATTTCCATCCAAATGGAGTTTTTGTAGGCCACCTAGTTGTTCTCCGTAGGATGTGGGTATGGATCCAACCAAGTGATTGGATGCCAAAGATAGAATCCGCAGCTTGTTGTTGTTTGGGGGTGGTTGTGGCAGCTCTCCAGTTAGTTTGTTGCCCGCCAAGACGAGTTCCTCTGTTGTTGTGACGATGATAAAGACGAGAGACAGTATCGTTGTAAGAAATATAAAGTATTGAGAGTAAGACAACATTGAAACACGACCTGATCAACACACTATGATAGCTAGCGAACGACAAACAATGATCATGTGTAGCAAAACTTACTCAAAGTGGGCAAATCTTGCAACAAGTTTCGGGGCAGTGATCCGGTCAATTGATTGTTTCCCAACAACAAAAATTCCAGCTTGGTCAAGTTTTTAGTAGTGGTGCTGGGAACACTCCCGTGCAACTGATTGTGCATCAAATCAATACCAGTCAGAGAGGGCATGGTGACAAATAGTTCACGAGGAATGGTTCCCTGGAGCAGCGTTCGTTCGAGTTGCAACTCTTGCACGATTTTGTTTGTGGTGGTATCACACACCACCCCATGCCATTGACAGACATGATGGGGTGTCATCCATGCCTTGTCGAAAAAGGCACGATTGGTCAAGTCAGTATTTTGCTTTTGTTCGAGGAGTTGACGACGACCACCGACACCGGCTCGTTCGGCACTCTTTTTTTGATCGTCTGCGAGGATGTGTTGGGAATGGTAAAAGAGTGCAAGGGTGTATCGTTGCAAGAGTTGTGCATGATTGCTATCGAGGGGCAACTGGGCGGGATCTTCTACGGCAATCCAATGAACGGCCTTGTTGGCGGCCGTGTTTTCATTGGGTGGAATGCCGGCTTGAGCAAGCATGGCATTCACTACGTTGAGACGCTCCGTTTCTTCCTTGAGGTTTTCGAGCTCGGCTTGTTGCTGTGAGTTTGGTTGCATGACCTCTTCTTCTGTCAGCTCCTCAATTGTTTCTTCTTCTTCTTCTTGTGGTTGTGGTGATTCTTCTTCTTGTGGTACTGGTACTGGAGTGTTGTTCTCCTTGGGTGGTTCTGGTTGTTTTGAAGGTGAAGCAATGACCCCTCCTGTGGGCACTGTGATCATCAGAATGACGACAATGAGTACAGTCAACATCAAGATGACGAAAACTGGCCATTTTTTGAGTTTGGCTTTTCCATTCTTTGGTGAATCGTTATCACCATAGTGAATACTGCTGCGACTGGATCCATTCATGGAGTCTCGATCAAGGAAAATGTCGGTGAGACTGCGTTGTCCCCAATTCATGCTGTTTTGCGATTTTGCAAGAGCGTCGGATTCTCGATGATGATGAGAAACGGACATGAGATTGATGCTCTGATCGACGGTCCCTTGTTTGCCACGCGCTTTCCACAGTTTGGCCACACTGCCACTACTACTACTCTTACGGGCCGGCACTGGAGCCGCCGAAACTCGCCGAAACCGATCAGAGCTGTGACTGCTGTTGTTCATCTTGGTGAAACCCTTCTTGGGCGCAGTCGCTAGTTCTTCCTCATCATCCTCCAATCCCAATTCCGACAAATCGGCCAATTCATCGTCCAAATCAAACTCACTATCGTCATCTTCGTCATCCTTGTTGTTGCTGCTGTTAGTAGAAGACATCTTGACCAAATTCAGTTGACTTCAGTTCACTTGCTGAGAAAGAGTGGCAGAGACAAAGAGAGGATCTTATCAGTCAGTCAGCCCAGACAGCGAGACTTAGCTCGACTTAGCTTGACTTGGGTCCTTTCTTGCTGCCTGCTGTTGTGGCTTGGGAGGCCAAAGTCGTGCAGCTCTCAGCAATGGTTGTGTTGTGGCTGGTAGTCTAGCCACCGGTGGTATGGTGGGAAAGAATAGACCGTTTGCTTCTTCTTCATGCCACAGCCATGGCAGTGCAATGAGGGAACAAAAAGGTGATGCCTGCTAAAAGTCCGCTTGAAGGACACTGGCTCAAAAAGAATCCATCGCCGGGACAGTAATTTGGCTGGTTTTTTGCCTCATTTGCTAAACATATTATGATTTCGATCACATTTGTTGGTTTTAAAGACCATTTTCGTCATTTGCACAGTTGCCAAAATGCAGTTCACACCACCACAATACCACAATGACCTCCATAAATCCTTCGGATCTTTTGCGTTGCTTGCTTGGTTGCTCCGAGTACCGTATACAGGAATGAGAATTTGCATGTTTCGATATTGAAAATCGCTCAAACAGGCCACATGGCTCATCAGGGAGTCCTTTTTCTCCACAGCAAAATGATAAAATCAAAAAACAAATGATACAGCCCCATGCAGCACAACAAGGGGCATAGGGCTGTAGCATTTGTTTTTGTGTTTTTAATCTTTTCATCAATATATTTCGCTCCCCAATTACAATACCAGACTCTTTCAATGAGTCGGTACCGGCTCCAGTCTGGTAAGCACCCTCCAGCATCCATGCATTTGCTTCCTTCGTCTTTCCATCCCCAGTTCCCTACTCTACTACTAGCTAGTAACCGTTTTAGTGGCTAGCTAGCTACTAGCAGGTAGGCCTTTGGGTTGCTACGTAACTTTGCTTCTCCTTTCAATTTTGATGACAAAGGTGGCTCGTCCTCGGTCCAGGTTCTCTCATGTCTTGGCATCTCTCTTTGTTTGTTTCAGTGTATCAGACATGCTGGAAGACACATTTCTATGACCGGCTACGTCCTCCAGAGCTCGAGAGGGAGGACCCATGCAGCCCGTTATAGGGAAGCAAAGCAGCAAAATACCCACAACACATTCTGTCTATCTACCGGTACTATTCTATCTAGTTATTACGTAGACATTCACCATAATACGATGAGCGTACTGCAGCTGCTGGCAGTCTGGTGGCTGATCAGGGTACACACAGTCTCAACGCTACTAGCTAGTACCGCACGGGACATGATGCGGTGGTACAATCAGTGGGACTGTCTGTCGCTCCGCCCGCGTTGCGGTCGGAATTGACTACTAACCCTGTCGTCTACGTGATAGTATTCAGGGTTAGGATCCAACGCAAAGATCTCAAGCAGCCAAACACTTTTCTCTTTGACTGTTGGTCGTGGTGTCGTGGTACTCTACGAACAAACAAGGATTGTGCTTTGACAAGAAACGCACTGCCAGCCAGGGATTGATTCGGAGGAGGCAAAAGACGGGGTGTAATGAGAGGTGGCAGCAGGCAGGAGACCAATCAGGCGCCAATTAGATCCTACCGGTAGTACGATACTTGAGAAGCTAATCGCTGTACTACTAGTCGAGATGAACACTAGCAAGCAGCCGGACTTACGACTTCACGGGCTACAGCTCATACGGGTGTCAGCAAACCTGTAATAAGGAATCCCCCGGAGCTCCTCAAACAAGAGATCCCTGGCTTCCGTAGACGCTCTTCTTACTCTAAACCCTTTGCGAGTGAAAGAGGGTGGAGCTTGAGGACGTGCATGCTTGGAGCATGATGCTTGATTGATTGGGGTGAGAGACATGTTCTGGCAAACTTGGAGCTCGGATCTTCGGTTTACACTGCACGTACATTTATTCCGAAGCACAAAAAACATTCGTTCTTACTGGACCTCTGTGGAAACGAGGATTCTGCCGTGGGATCGTCTCTTATTAAGTCACTAAAAGAAGACGTGCACGTCTCCTTTAAGCGACTTGGAGTCTCCTTTAAGTAAGAGACGTCTACTATTTATCAGGAGACGTCTCCTATCACAGACTTAAACAACGAGTAATTAACACGGGTACGTCTCATATTGCTTCGGAGAAGTCTCCTAAAAATTGAAACCATGTCTCATAGAGCTCCTACAGCCTCCTACTTCTCCTATTGGACATCTGTTAAGTCTCCTACCGGTACAGGCTTACCAGGATTCAATATTTCCACAACGGTCCTGGCTCAACTCGCGTAAGCTCATGGCTGAGCTCACATTTTCAAAGAGGTTGCGCCGTCGAGTGGAGTCATTGAGCTGCCGCTGTTGGCACCACTGAAGTCGGTAACTCAAGGCTCAGGAAGACCACCCAAGGCTTTTACAAAAAGTCAGCATCATTGAATCCACCATCTTTCATTTGGTTGTTGTGTATATGACCTTGATATTTTGGAAACCTTCCTGTGAAGATTCATTGGCTATGCTTCCGCCCATTGTTCCAAAGTCAATCCTCACAAACCAAGCCATTGCACCTTCCCCAGCAGACCACAGGAATCCAGTTCCAGTGCTTGTACCCAGTCCACTTTATTCAAGTACAACCAGCTTGAATTTTCTATACCTCAATCAAGGTCACTGGAAATCTTCTTCGTGAATTCCAAGCTACTACAGCACAGTTCTGTCAGCTTTACTATTTATTTTACTCCCACAAGGGCTGAGGCCGTGTGTTTCAGCAATGCCAGTGCTCTACAGTACCGTACCAACAGTGACTCCTCCTCCATTTGGAGGCGATTGGGCAAGGCCGTATTTGTCTTGAACCACAAGAGGACTGCTGTACGGGTGCACAGGTTAGTTACTCCTCGGATCTGCTAGTAGCTAGCTAGTAGCAAAGAAATGCGCAATGTACGAGAAAACTTAATCGCCTACCTAAAGTTTTCACTGCTCCTTGATGGGTTAGTTGTTTATGTAAATTGGACTAATTCTTGGCCTCCCCTTTGCTTTCCCATTACGAGCTAGCTAAACAGCTATTAGTAACAATCGGAGCAACAATCGCATTGAATCTTCCCCGTGGTACAGTCTGCTACCAAATACTTCAATCTGGACGTTTGTCGGAGGGCGCACACTTCTGATGGCATGTCCCCCACGAGACTGGTACCATCCAATTCCATGCGTTCCAAGTGCGGCAAGAGCCCCAACTCGGATGGAACAGCCCCTTTGAGACCACTATTTCCATCCAAATGAAGCTTTTGCAGACCAGCTAGTTGTTCTCCATAGGATGTGGGTATGGATCCAACCAAGTGATTGGATGCCAGGGATAGAATCCGCAGATTGTTGTCATTGTTGTTGTTTTGGTTGTTCTTTTGGGGTGGTAATTGTGGCAGCTCTCCAGTTAGTTTGTTGCCCTCCAAGATGAGTACCTCTGTTGGTTGTGACGGACAACGAGAGACAAACAGGCCGGGTGTGAGTGGAAGACGGCATTGAAACGAGGCCGGAGCGAACAACGAACGAATGAACGACAAACAAACACTCAGACAGAGCGAAACTTACGCAAAGTAGGCAAATCTTGAAACAAGTGGTGGGGCAGTGATCCGGTCAATTGATTGTCTCCCAACAACAAGTTTTCCAGCTTGGTCACAGTTTTATTTGCAGTATGGGTGGACGTGCTGGGAATACTCCCGTGCAACTGATTGTGCATCAAGTTAATACCAGTCAAGGAAGGCATGGTGACGAATAGTTCGTGAGGGATGGTTCCCTGTAGCAACGTTTGTTGGAGTCGTATTTCATGTACAATTTGCCCTGTACTATCGCAGACCACCCCATGCCAATGACAGACATGACGCGGTGTCATCCACGCCTTGTCGAAATAGGCGCGATTGGTCAAATCAGTGCTTTGTTGCTTGTGTTCGAGTTGACGACCACCAGTTCGTTTGGCGGCCTTTGTCGTCGTTTGAACTTGATCTTGTAGTACGGGTACACCCTGTTGTTGGGAATGGTAAAAGAGTGCGAGGGTGTATCGTTGCAAGAGTTGTTGTGGGTTGTGGTTGCTAGTGTTGTCGAGTGGCAGCTGTGCCGGATCTTCTACTGCAATCCAATGAACGGCCTTGTTGGCGGCCGTGTTTTCATTGGGTGGAATGCCGGCTTGAGCAAGCATGTCATTCAATTCGTTGAGACGCTCTGTTTTTGCCTTGAGGTGTTCGAGCTCGGCTTGTTGCTGTGAGTTTGGTCCTTCTTGTGGTTGTGGCACAGGAGTGCTCTTTTCCTTGGGTGGCGAAGCAACAAAGATGATTCCTCCCGTGGGCACTGTGATAATGAGAATGAGGACAATAAGTACTGTCATCATCAAGACGACAAAGACGGGCCATTTTTTGAGTTTAGCTTTTCCATTCTTGTGTGAAGAATCATCATGCATACTGCTGCGACTTGATCCAGCCATGGAGTCTCGATCTAGGAAAATGTTTGTGAGACTGGATTGTCCCCAACCAGTACCATTCGTGCCGTTGCTGGATTCTCGATGATGATGGGAAACGGACATGAGATTGACACTCTGATCCACTTTTCCTTGCTTGCCACGCGCTTTCCACAGTTTGGCCACACTGCCAGTACTGGCACTGCTACTCTTACGAGCCGGTGCTGGAGCCGCCGAAAATCGACGAAAGCGATCGCTGTTGTGACTGCTGTTCATTGTCTTGGTAAATCCCTTCTTGGGAGTCACTGATGAGGGCTCTATATCCTCCAATCCCAATTCCGACAAATCGGCCAATTCATCGTCCAAATCAAACTCACTCTCGTTGGAAGAAGACATTGCTACCGGTATCGTACCGTATGACCAAAAGTTAATGAGTGAAAGTCTTCGCTTGCTGCTGCTGCTGCTGCTTGAAAGGCCTCTCGGCTATGGTTGTGTTGCTGGTAGTAGTGGGAAAGAGCGCTTCATTCATGCCTTCATGCCAATGATACACTCGAAAACAGTGAAGAAGGGAAAAACCTCATTGCTCCCTACAAAAGATCTTTGAGGCTCAAAAAGACTTCCGGAACCGTAATTTGGTGGGTTTTAATCCTCATTTGTCTAGCAAAAGTCTTTATTTCGACAATATGCTCCATTTTGAACAACAATCTCATCATTTTCATAGTTACCAGCATGGCCTTTGCCCCCACCTCAATGACCTTCATAAATCATTCAGATCTTTGGTTGCTTGGTTCCTACCGATACATACACAGCCTTCCGCTTCTACCGTTAGTAACCTTTCCTTTCCGTCACTCTAAGTATGCCTTTCACCTACCACCACCTCTTTTAAAATGCATTGTAGCATTCCACTTCATCGGCTTGCTACCGTGGATTTTTCTTGCACGGGTATCTTTGTTGCCATAGTTGTCCTCGTACCTCCTTTTGAATAGATTGAACTGCAGCAGTGCAGCCAGCAGTGAGGATGCTCATCCCCCCGGAGCGAGCTAAGCCCGGAAAGAGCCGTTCCAAGCAAGCAAGCATCAGCTCAGGTTCTCTCTCGTCTTTGCAGCTTTGTTTCCGCCGGTGTATCATGCCATACGTCACCTACTAGTACTGTATCTGATCTGACAGGGCCGGCACTCTCCAGGGGAGCTAAGCAGCAAAACACCCACAACACCAAAGATAGTCTACCAGCCATAACCAGAGCAAGAATATGACATTCCAAGGCTACACCAAGCTTTCTACCTACCTGGAGCAACCTGATTACCTCGAAGTTAAGAAAGCTCTCCTCTTTAAGTGTTTTTAGGGTTAGGGTCGATCTTTGGCCCCATCGCAAGATCTCAAATCTCAAACACCCGAAGACATCTTCTTGCTCCAAACTATGTACCATCCTGCTTTCTATAGCTAGCTAGACTCTACTACTAGCAAGCAAGGCACAAGCTATAATATCTATACTACTGAATGCATGCATCAATTTTACCATGGAATCCCCAATAGCAAACAACAATCACAACAAGAATGCTAGTAAAAGCAGTCAGACGGCCATGGGAAACCGTTGGTTCCGCGGATTTGCCTTGCTCTTGGTGGCAAGTTTTCTGCTCTTTCTGTGGGACAAGGTGGAACTCAGAGTCACAGGAACGCAACAAGAAGAACTGATGGGAGTGCAGCTGGTATTCAAAGGATCTTCTCCTAGTAGTACCATTCAAACAAAAACAAGCAACAGCACTCTTGCCAACACGGAAGTTGATAGCCGGACGCACACTGGAACCACTGCAGACCAAGACAAGGACAAGCTACCAGCTACTGAGGCTAGCAATCCACAAGATGCTACCAGTACCAGTAATGGAAATGTCAATGCCAATGACAACACCAAGTCAGGCGAACCTGCCAAGGAGAAGCGGGCAACCAGTCCACTGACACGCCCACCAGAACCACCTGAAGCGGTGGACGATTCACTCACTCCCCAAGAATGTGAAAATCAATGTCAAACATCCCAAAACAATGATTTCGACTTGTCCAAAGCATCCAATATGCGACAACGATTCACCGAATACCGACAACGCTATGTTGCTCAGCTCCAGCAAGATTACGGAGAAAAACTCTACAAGGATCTCTTCACGCCCATTATTGATCCCGAAACCAACACTCCCGTCAGCATTGGAAGAGATTTCATCTTTACCGAACCCCCCAAGTTGAAACTCAAACGAGGCACGGCACGGGGGACACCCCCACCGCCAGGAACCGCATGGAAACGATTTGTTCGAAAACTCTCCATCAAGGTACTCCAAATTCAATTGGGATCCGTCCTGCAACAATCCAAAGCTTCATACGATTGCAGCAAACGGTGTCATTACAAGTATCATCCCGGAACCTACACAAACTATGTCTGGGCCACGGGGGGACACAGCTCGTCGGCCGGTCATGGCAATTTCTATAGAGAAGCCTACACGGCTGTCATGGAACGAGCCGTACAACCCATTTTTCGAGCCATTGGACTCGATTTTGAGGCACGAGGATACTCGTCTGGAGGAACCAGTAGTGCCGATGAGGTAGGTGAGCGTAGTGGAATGGGTGGTTGGCACCGTCCTGCGTTTTCATTCTGACTGTCCTTGTTTCGTGGCTGTCATGCGCAGTATTCACTTTGTTCACAAGCATTCTACGGTAGAGATATTGACAGTCTTAGCTGGGATTTTGGAATGGTGCGTCTCTCTGTCGTGATCGATTTGGGATCGATGCCGCAGATGCCAAGCCATGCTGACTGACAGCCAACAATCTTCTCTTCCTTTTGCGTTTTCTTCGGTGTTTTCAGACGGATGGTGCGTACCGTAAAGAACTGGAGAGCGCTCCACCAACCCATCGAACCCATTTTTTCAAACGTCAAGGCTGACTGACTCTATGAATGTTGTATTCCACATGATTTCTGAAGGGAAGAACAAATGGAAGATTGGCATGTATGCCTATCGAGCGGCACAAGTGGCCAAAGCCAGGAATACTATATCGCAACCGGGCGGTATTCCTCGTCGACCCGCACTTTTTGGCATTCATCAAGGGGACGAACACAACGCGGTGTTGCATTATATGTACGAGGTAGGTTTGACGCAGGAAAGGTGCTCAGTCATTATGCCGAGTTCTCTCGAACTCTCTCTCATGTTGCATCATCTCTGCCTTTTCCAACCCACGCACGGACATGTTTAGCTGGGAATGCCCGTACTCGGATACAACGGTGGATACGAAGCCAATCTCTTTGCGGCATTTCCTGATATGATGTAGGTCTTTGCATGCATCCATCCATGGCAGTTTGATCCACTTTCTTGTATACTAACACTCCTGGTCAATGAACTCAACTGGATCTACACGGTCGTCCTTGCTATGTTACGTCACAGGGGCATGTCGGACCAAGAGATTGAAGCGGTACCGCGATTGGCTCGCCACTTCAAGTGTGCTGGTGGCGTGGAAACGGGCGAACCAGGATGCAACGCGAACAAATTCAATAGAACTTTCTGTCCCTCGCGGGCTGGGCGAGCGTAAGTTCTAGCGTGCGTATCGAACGATGAATCAAAGAAACATAGTGCTCATGATAGTCGAACCCATTGATCGATTTGTGCCACAATTAACTTCATTTCAACTCGTAATGAACAGAAAATGGCATCAGGGCTGGAAATTCCATGCCTTGGCAGGACATCTGATCGCGACCATGTTATTGGATGCTTTGCAGGATGCTATTGAGGAGGTGGCCAAGCTGGAACCCATCGACAACGAAGACATGCCGGCCAAAGAGGCTCGCATCACCTCGCACTTGCAACGTCTCTCTCAAGAAGAGGCAGCCGACTACAACAACATTTTAAATGCTCCCGTCCACGAGTATTTGCGGCCCGAGTTTGAAAGAATATGGGCACCCGGTAGCTATTTTGCCAAGATGACTCCGGGAATGGCATACGAACCGTTGCTCAAAGACCCAATCCTTTGCCATACAGCACTCCTTCCCGCCGATATCCGCTTTCGGGGTATACTCACGGAAAGCAATATGGTGGGGAACATCTACAATCAATATTACGACAAGGGCTACAGTTACCAGAAGATCCAAAAAACAGAAGCCCCCCCTCCTCGTGGCCAACGTAAGCCAGTTATGTTTGTCGATGAACGGCCCGGACAAGCCGACAAGCTGACACTCGTCATGAATGAGGACGAGCGGGAAAAATGCGAAGAGCCTACATTCTTTGACTTGGACGATTGGTATCACACGACTTCGATGCAACCATGGAAAACCCTGTTGCTTCCCAATGATTCGGAGATGCGTTATTACGAATTCAATCCACTTCAAAGTCGAGGATGGATCTTGATGTGTTTGAAGAAGTGTTCCTGGGGCAAGTGCGATGGGACCGATATGCATGACTATTTGCCCGGGAACTGGCCCGGTGGAAAGAAGGGTCAGGCGCCTCCCACCAAGGAAGAACGGGCGGACTACGGAACGGTGGAACTCGAGGTGAACAATGTACCCGTGACCAATGCAGTCCGATTGGAGAAGTGTTATTTTCTGACACACGAGGATCCCGATCCGACCAAGACGTATGTGTGGAAGCCAAATGATGCGGGCAAGTACGAGATTCGAGTCCGCATTGCCAATGCGAAAAGGTACTCGGTGCTCAAAATGACATCCTTTGTCTTTTTGTAACATCATCTTACTGCTAGCTGGCTAATACCGTACATACTTTTGCTACCCAACAAGTAACTAAATCATGCCTTAGCACATCGACTTAGCATCTTTCATCTTCCTCTTGCATGGGGCTACCGTACCCGGACGGGGAAGAGCAAGAGAAGGCGAGACGTTCGTCTTTGGTCTTTGAGAGGGACTCGAAGTCGAAGGACCAACATCACCACTGTCGAGCAAGAAAGAAGGAACGTCAGAAGTCTTGGTGCAATATCATTATGAAGAAACGAAAGACTATTAAGGGTGCCATTTGCCAGTGGATCGACGTGCAGAACAGACTCATGAAATGGCTGTGAACTGCTCTTTTGTGGATGCGATTGTCAACGGCCAACATTGAGCAGACCTCCAAGGACGAGACAGGGGTTTGAGGCGCCACGGTTTTTCGAACAAGAAGCGGACATTGCCAACGGCCAACATTGAGCAGACGTACCACGCGAAAGAGACAAGGGTTTGCTTGCAACAACGGCGACCCACCAAACAGAAGAGCCGACCTTGTGTGATTCAAGCAAGACGTCGCTGACGATCCGAAGATTAGAGCAGAAGACTTGGACGATGAAACGGCTCCTCATGATCGACTTGTTCTAAGAAAGGCATGCAGAATGGAACAAGGAAGAGGTTAGACTTGAGCTGGTACGGTAGCAAAGCAAAGCAAGACCGCATGCATGCATGACACTTTGGTTCAGCGAAGTGGGGAACAACAGTCTTCTAAGAGTGTCTGCCACCCCCCACTTCCAACGACGTTTATGTTGGCTCTCTCGAGCAAAGAACTACTAATGTCATGCATGCATGCCGTTCGCTAGCGGACCGTACCTGTTTGTTGCCTTCACGAGGACGAACCACCCCAACAAAGGACTGGAAGAGGAACGGCCACGGCGCCATTGTCAACATTGAGCAGACCTAGGTTGGGAACTAAAGGGGATGAGGCGACAACGGTCTATGACCGTGAAAAAGCAATGGCACAAAAGACAGGAACACAGGGACTTACCTTTGCACGAGTACGAACCAACCCACTGGAACCACCGCAAGACAACACCATTGCCGGCGAAGAGTGCCAAGTGGACCCCACACAGAGTGGGAGCCCAGTCACTCTCCTGCAAGCAGCACCGGCAAAGGTGTCATCGTCATGCATTTGGAAGAAGAAGTTGTGGTTGTGTTGTTGATGATGAAAGAAAAGACGTGCTTGAAGGCAACGATCGTTTCACTCGTTTCAGCAAACGATCGTTTCATTATTTGGCAAGACCAACTCAAAATCGAAAGAGGTGTCAACATCAAAAATCAAATGGAGCTCGTCATTCATGTTGCCGTTTCAAACTGAAACGGCCAAACTCTCGGCAAAGGTACGACTGGTACGAGTGGTGGTTGATTGACATGACGGAGCTCGAGGCTGCTTCCAAGCATTCTTCCCGAGTTAGTGAATAGATACAGCAACCATAAGTCCATCCGAGTTGTTTCCATTGTGAAAGCAGAAAGGTGGTCGACACGTGTACGTCGACACCAGTCCCAACGTGGAAGATGCGTCAAACAAAAGAAGAAAGATGTCCTTGGTCCTTGAACGTTATCCAAACGAGAGAAGCATGTCATGGTGGAACAGATCCTTCTTCAAAAGGAGCAGCCGCTGGAAAGAGGAGGTTACATCGTACATCATCTTGATAAAGCTATCGAGATAATGAACTACGACCGAGAGGAAAAACAAAAACGACGACCGAGAGGGAATTCATCGTCCAGAGATTGACTGCATGCTTCGGTTGGCTGCTTCGAATTCAGCATCAGCTCAGTTGAGTACTACTTGTTTAGGGATAAGGTTCGTTCAACCTAATATCTTTTGATGCACCAAATCGGCTCACTGATTGAAAGCCCGGTTGAAGCTTTCCAGGATGTCATGATAGCTAGCCAGATCTAGCTATGCATAGCTCCCCTCTTCCTCATCTTTATTGGATGAAAAGGGGGGTTTAGAGTAGGTAGATTATCTACGGAAGCCAGCCGGGGCCAGGCTTAAGCAAAGAACAGTCAAAATTCAGGACCTAGACTACATGTACAACATGTATAGTAGCTAGTAGAGTCTAGGTTCTGTGGAACTGGGGCGAGAAACTGAGGACCACGCCAATGGGTTTGACTTTGCCCATGATTGCCGTTTCAAACTGTCGCCACAAGGCACTTGATCGTCAAACTTTCCATGAGGATAGCTCCCTCGGCTCAGCTGGACAAATTTATTGGCGCTGAAGATTTTAAAAGATATCATAGATTGTTTTGTCGTTTATTCTTTATTTACAACTAACTACACACAAAGCATTTCATCTCTATCTACTCGTTCCATCAGCGCCACAGCCTCCTTCAAGGATGGATGATCTTCATCCAGATTCGAGTTGTGGTATATATCCAATGCCTTGTTGATCCATTCTTTCGCCTCTTCAAAATGACACTTGCGCAAGTGAATCCCTCCCAAATGAACCAGAATATCGGCGACAGCAGGATGTCGCTCACCAACAGCCTGCTCCGCCATGGGCAACGCTTCTCGTAAGCACTTCATCGCGTTCGTATAGTCTCCCGTTGCCACCAAACAGCTTGCCTTGGTCGCCAGCGCTCGAGACACGTCAATGTGACGCTCGCTCAAACTCTCGCGACGAATCTCCAACACGGCATTGCAAATGTGCTTGGCCTTGCGGAACCGTTGTCGCTTGCGGTGAATCTCGGCAAGCTCGTGCAATGTCGTCGCTTGCAGAGGATGATCCGCTCCCAAAAAGTCAATCCTCATATAGTAACACTCCTCCAATGTCTTGGTAGCATTTGGGTAGTCGCCCTTGCGGGCATAAGCACACCCCAGACTGTGCAATGTCTCAGCCACATTCGGATGCTTGTACCCATGAATCCTACGCTGTGTGGCCAGAATGTCACGGAATTGAGCAAACGCAGCATCCAGTTCCGACTCGTAAATGGCGTACATGTTGCCGATCTCACGACGAGTCCGCAGCGTGGCTGGATGGACCTTGCCCAACAGGTTATTCTGGATACGAAGCGCTTCTTCCAATGCGTCCATGCCATTGTCATACTCGCACAGAGCAACCTGTACTACACCAATCTGGAACCAAGTCGCTGCCACAGTCTCGTGGTCTTCGCCAGTTTCCGCCTTGAGCTCCTTGAGAGCATCTTGGAGTAACCGAAGCGCCTTTTGGAAAAAGCCAAGGTGGAACTGAACGGTGGCAGTCAAGACACGAGCCGTGGCAATGTGCATCTTGTCACATCCAATCTGCTTTTGCACTTCTAGTGCACGGTCGTAATAGTCGATTGCTTCCATAAAGATACCGGCACGACAGCTCAACATACCCAAGCTATTCAGTGTGGTCGCTACCTCCTCTAGATTTGCCTTCCCTTCCGTACGCTTTTGATTCAAGCACTGAAGCTTTTCTTCGAAAAAGGAAATGGCCATCTTGTACGAACCACGATCTTCGTGCGCGCGCCCGATCACTTCCAGCATGCCAACTTCAATAAAGGTACTGTAGTCATCCGATTTGGCACGAACAGTTGACAGAGAGTTTCGCTCTCGGTAGTACACAGCTCCAATGTGAATCAAAGTCTGAGAAACTAGTGGATGCCGCAGTTCTTCGCCGTGGCACTCCTTCAGAATGCGAAGCGCCTCTTGGTGCTTTTCCATGGCCAAGCTGAACTTGGATTGACGAGCCAACACACTACCAATGCGATTCAACGTGTTGGCAGATTCTTCGTGAATGTACCCGTACAATGCCAACTCCATCTCCTGGACTTCAGCATAGCAACCCAAAGCAGAGTCGTATTCACCCTTGCGCACAAAGATATCTGCCAGCAAATGCAACGACCGTGCGGCATCGGCAGAATCACCGCGGTACTTCTGGATGCGAAGCGCTTCATTGGTAGCCTTGAGAGCCTCTTCCACCTCCTCGCTCTGAAGATAGAGTATTGACATTCGGAACAAAGTAGCGCCCACCCTATGGTTGGCCTTGTCATCGTTCAATGCCTCTAGCTCGTACTGTGCCAGGAGCTTCTCCTGTTGTTCAATCTCAAGGGCGATTTCGTTCTTGTTTGGAACGACCGACAAACTGTCAGACTGCAAGATATTAGCAGCCGGTGTAACCTGCTGTGTGGGTGTGGATGGTGGCACTACCTTGGGAGTGCTGACGGACTGCTCCAGACTGACAGGACCAATCTTGCTAGAGGTACTGTTGACGCTCGTGGTAGCCGTACTGGCCCTTCGCTTGCTTGATAAAGCCGATGACTGGAAGAACGAGTTGGGAATTGGAGAGCAGGCAGCCGCAGCCACAACTTCGGTTTTGAGCGTTGATGCCGCCAAAGGAAGAGTTGAAGACTCGCGAATAATCAGGTCATCATTGGTGTCCTCCTCGTCTTCATCTTCGGAATCGAAATCCAGTGGTTGCGACTTCATCTGAGCATGAATTGCCTTGGCCGACAAGAATCCTTCCGCAGCTTCGACAGCTTGGTGAAAGTTGGGCAGCCAGCCATCGAGTTGCCCCAGTTGGCCCCACCATTGGTTGTTTTTGTTGCGATTCTTGACATTCGGGTCGTCCATGATGAAGGTAATCTGCGAAAGAGTATCATCGTGAGACTGCGACGCCAGTGAAACAAATTGAATCGGTCTCCCAAGAGTATCATCCCCTTCCAACTCTTCAACAGCAGCATCCGTCTTCTCGGCTTCATCCTCGCGTGCTGACTGATTGGGCTTTGTCAGTGACGATGGTAAGCTGTCCTTCATCGGAGAATCATCCATGCCTTCCGACACTGTGGCTTCAGCTTCGGCGTCAGTTTGCAAGGCTTCAAATTGATCGTGGTGCTTCGACGATCGTCCCGCCTTCGTCTTTCGACGTAGCCGAATGGAATTAGACAGTGCTCGGACAATGCGATTCCCTGGAGAGCTCTTGGACATCTCTGACCCGTGACTCTTAGACTTTTTGTTCCGCGGCGATGGCGTAGAGTGTGATTGCGATTCTTTGGGAGTGGCATCATCGTTATCGTGAACTTCAAAGGTGGGACTAGAGTCTCTCTTGGGACCATCTAATGGATCAGACGAAAATGTATTGTGGACATTGTTTTGGGAGACGGAAGGAACTGGAGACTCCCGCTCGCCCGACGAGAAGGGGTCTGTTATCAAATCATGCAACTGGCTGGGTTGGCGAGAATCATCATAGATAATGATCTTGTGCTTGTGTTTCTTTGGATCCGACGGACGGTATAACCCAGCTGGATCTCGTCCGCGGTCACGGTCGGCATCATTCTCAATTGGGTCCTCTCCATCGTCGTCGGAAGGAGCAGAATCTTCGTCACCAGAAGAGAAATCTTCCCTAGCAAAGCGAGTGTAACCTTGCTCAGACTCCGAGTCGCCACTGTAAGAAGGAGTGACATCGCTTTCCGAATCATCAGCATCAAAATCTTCGTAGCCTTCGAAAGGGTCCGAGCTGGCGTCGTCGTCATCTTCGTGTCGCTGGAAATCTCTCTCCTTGGGTGTGGGATCAAATAGAACAGGTGATCGCTGGCTTTTTGAACTCGGAGAGAAACTGTTGTTGTTCGCCTGGTTCGAAGTGTCTGGTTCCGGGAAGAATGCATCAAAGGAAGAAACTTTGGATTTCTCTCCATTTTCATGCGCGACAGATATCTGAATGATTCCATCGCTGAGTCCATGCTTCGATGTTTGTGACGTCGGACTTGCTGGTTGCTTTGGTGACTTGGACAAGGTTTCAATCTGTGCTGGTGGCTTTGACGGCACGGGAGGTGGTGGCGGCGGAGGAGGAATGTTGAAGGGATTTTCGTCTTCGTCATTCGGACTCTGCAGTAGTGGTGGAAGATACCCAGATGTCTTGTGTTGTTCATTGACCGACGACGCGGATGACTGACCACCGTACGTCGAGGTCAAATCGGACAGACTTGCGGCCACCAACGGTGTGTTGGTTTGACCATTCGTCGATTCGTCATCGGGTGTGGGTGTTGCCATGCGCTCTTTGAATGACATTGGATTCCTCGACAGCTGTCCAATGGCCGCAGCGTTGAGCTTTCTTTGTTGTTGTAGATGCGGCCCTGAATGCTCATCAAACGGTTTCTCCTTGCTGGACGCTTGCGTGGCTTCATCAAATGGCTTTTCACTGGATGCAGTCTTGGCAAGGACAAGATCTGTGATTGACTTTTTGACACTTCTCACTGATGCTTCATCCTTGCTCGTTGGTGTGGATGGCGGCGGATGGTCAATGTCAATATCCAGACCAACCAATACCGACGACACCACATCCGACTGCCCATCGTCAATCAGTGCTCCGCTTTCCGCACTAGGCGATCCCAAGAGCATTTCGTTGTCTAGCTTCACCCGCTTCAAGATGATATCCTTTGCCCGTTGCACCTGGAAGGAATCCTTGCCACCAAATGGATCGACATCGAACGGTACCGAATCATCATATTCCCCTTCGACTGGTACAACAGCGTTGCTGGTAGGCATGGGTGTGAGTGCTCGTGACGTGGTTGGTCTTGGACTATTGGTGATTGGAATTTCATCTACGGCACTCTGAGTGTCGAGACTTCCCAAAGACTTTTCATCTTCGTCGTCGTCCTCATGATCATCGTTCACTGGCGGTTGTTCGACTGGTGGGGGTGGAGGAGTCGAACTCTCTGTGCTTTGGCTCTTTTGCGTGACAATGGCATTGTGATTGGCACGGTCAAAGGGCACTAGCGGTAGATCGTTACTATCGGCCACAAAGTCAAAGTCTTGCTGCATGGGCGACAAGACGGGTGTGGGGGATCTTCCAATGGAATCGCTCTTTGCTGGTGACGCTCCCGGAGACACTTTGGGTGATGGCGACTGTACAAACTCATTCTTCGGGCTGTGAATGTGGAAGAAGAGAGCAACGTAAGATACGCCAAGCAATCGAATGAACGAATGAATTCAACGTGAACTCAAGTACCAAGCTTACCTTTCCGAGTGAACACGAACTGCCACTGGCGGTGTTGGTGGATCGGCACTCTTGGGCGACTCCTCGGAAGTATTTGCATTACTCATACTGGGCGAGAGTACTGCAGCGACGGCATCCTTGGTGATGCGTCCCCGTTCTTCCAAATCACTTCCGCTACTGGCCGTCCGACTATTGCTGCTACTTCGTGCTCGACTGCGACTTCTAGATCTTGATCGCAATCGATTCTTGGCCGTGGCGAGCGCCGCCATGCGTTCTTGTTTTTGGCAAAACTCGACATGCATCAATAGTTCAAAGACATCTTCTTCGTGGTCGGTACCTTCCAATCTTCGTGCCGACTCTAACAGACACTGTTTGGCTTTAGCCAATTCCCCCATGCCCATGTACGCTCTACCCAATTCTCGAAAGACAATGGCTTGATGAACACTGGGAATGGCCTTGTGGTCAATACTGTTGTTGCCCTTGTTGTTGTTGTTGTTGTTCTCGTCATCGCTATTGTCACTGTCGAGCCACCATAGCATTTTGGTTTGTGGCAATTCACGCAAAAAGTCGACAGCTTCTCTCCATCGTTTCTGTCCCATCAAGACATTGGCAATTCGTACGACGGATTCCGTAGCAGCCCGTGTGGATTCATAAGAATCATCGTATTCATCATCATCCTTGACACTAGCTTGGTAAATGGTATGGGCGGCATGATACAGGTCGAGTCCACCGGCAACATTGCCCTGACATTCCATGACGCGTCCAATCTTGACGAGTGCTTCGGCGACTTCCCAATGATCTTCTCCTAGATATCGTGATACAATGAGTAGAATCTTTTCATAGCAAATGAGTGCTTCTTGGTAGTGTCCTCGTTCTTCCTTGACGCGTCCCATGGAGTTCATGGTATTGAGTAGATCGTGTGAGAGTACCTTGGCAGTATCTTTGGTTCCGCTGGTTTGCAATTGCAGATCCATGGCCGTGTGCAGTGCATCGACTCCCTTTGTCATTTCTTGTTGACAAAAGTAGAATTCCGAGAACTGTTTCCAGCATTCGACGAGTGATTTTCTCCATTCATTCTCGATATCTTGCGTGAGATTGGGCTGACTTAGGTGTTGTTCCAGAAGTGTCTTCCATGATTGCAATGCAACGAGTCCATCTTGGGGTGTATCGGATTGTCGATATAGTTTAGCCAAACTCTGGTAAGACGCTACGAGCCACTGAAGTTGTACTTGTTGGAGACATTCCTGTTGAAAAAAGACATCGTCGACACACGTGACCGAGAGTGTTCCATGATTGTCGTGTAATAGAATGGCGGGTTCTTGTGCGAGTAACTCCACACAAGCTTCGTGACACTCGAGTGCGGCGACAGAATCCCATACACTGGTTTCGTAGATACTAGCCCGATGATGGAGTGTTTCGGCAATGAGTGCGGTCAGACAGACCGTCTCTTGTTCTTCTAGTGCAGCCAGTGGAAGTGGCGACGGCGGTGCGAGTCGTTGTCTACATTCTCTGTACAATTGCTCGGCATCGTGATAGCACTGGAGCGCAGCGTCTCCTTGTTGCAACGCATTGTATACGGCTCCCATATTGTGTAGAGTAGCGGCGGCATTGCACGTATCGACAATTCCAAGTGGCGGATCCTTGGCTTCGGCCGCTTCCGTCTGATAGACAATGAGAGCCCGTTGGTACCACGTAAGAGCTCCTTCGAGATCTTCTTCTTGAAGACAGACACACGCATGACTGGAATAGTCGAGTGCAATGGCCGTTCCTTCATTACTGTTGCTAGTGGATTCGCCATTGGCGCAACTATTGGGAGATGTCGTAGTCGACGCTTGAGTGGTCGGCGTGGCGTGCGTGCCATTGGACGTTGTGGAATGCGAGCAATTGTGTTGTTGTTGTTGTTGTTGCTGCTGCTGTGATTGACTCATCGTGTAGACCATGGTACCACCGCTGCTCGTGGCCGCAGCATTCGTAGTCGTATCGTTGGGTTCGAGGAGTGTCGGAGGACTTATGGGAGGACTCGGTCGAAGAATCATGGGTTCGTGTGGAGGAGGCGAAGGCGTAATGGTGGACGTCATGTAGGAATACTGATTCGGCGGAGGAGACGACAAGAGTGGCTTGGTGGCGGACGGAGACGCCTTACTGTTACTACTAGTCGTACTGCTGCTGGACCGTCTCTTGCCATGGCGCTGTTTGTGCTTGCCGTGTCGAAAGGAAGACTTGTTCCTGGCGCCCATCTGATAAAAGATCTTGGAACTTCCGCTGCTCGCCGCTGGAGAAACAACTGCCACTGCGGTACCGTCGATCTGTTGAAGCGGAACTCCCACTGTACTACTACTAGAAGTCGTCATGGTCGTACTGGTATCGTTGCCTTGCCTCTTTCCACTCAATGATACTGCTTGTCTTGTCTTGACTGTCACTCGTCTCTAGCTAGACGATAGATAGATAGATCCGTTGAAGAATGCTTACGACCCTCACTCAAGTTTTTCAAGAAACACAGAACCTTCCATCAACCGTTGATCACACAAGCAATCAACACAACTTGGACAATACAACCACAACAACGTCTTGCTGCTTTCTTTCTCACTGCCAAGACGAACGATACGATAGCTAGCCTACCTAATATTAGCCAGTCACACACATGCATGCACCGTCCAAACAACCGTCCTTCCACAAAAGGAAAGGTGCGTTGCGTTCTTTTCCATTGGAGATCGGCGCGGGACCAGCCTCACACTATCAAACCGCTCAACATGGTCAACGGCAACATCATCCTAATCACACAAAATTACATGCACGGGACCGTCCAATTTGGAAATACAAACCATCTAACTAACTGGACAAAAATATTCGAATTTTCATACTCATATTCAGACGTGAACATGCAACATACTCGCTCGAAGCAGGATGGTGGTCCCACAATTTAGCTGGCTTACAACTATTGCGTGCGCCTTGGAACACTCCGAGATATCCAAAGCAAACGGTAGCAAGAAGATTCCAATACTACATGTGTTTGTGACCACTGTGCACCGTCCCGTATCATCCACCTGTATACGTATACTAGTAGTACGAATTGTAGGAAGCAATTGCTATGGCTATTATGTTATTAGAATGTTGCATGGAGGTGCCCAAACAGGCAGGTATGGTAGCTATCTAGCTAGCTAGCAACAAAAAAAAGTTGAAGAATGTTCTAGGTTTCTTGGCTGCAGTGCTCTGGATTGTTGGTTTCGTTGCCTCGGCTGGCTGGTCTTGAAACTACCTGGTACCGGTGCCGGTACCGGTACAGTAGGGGAGACTTGGTACGTACCGGTATCACTCTACTAGCTAGCTAGTGAGTACATCGTAATTCATAGTCGAGAGCATCCGATTGGGCATGAGTAGAGGTGCACGCCCCGAAGAAAGGCTAGTGACAGCAGTGCATGGAACTCGCAAACTTGCTGGGTCATCATCACTATCATAGACCGGCCGGAACAGGCATGCACCGCATGACATTGTAGTATGACCTTTCGTTCATCTACGGTATATGCCATAGTTTGTTTTGTGTCATGGGTTACTTGCTGGGCCATTGCCACGGTACTGTCGCCCATCCGGCCACTCGATTCACATTCAGCCAAGAAACCATGGCGGGGCCCGTCATGCATCATTGCTTCAGTGCCTTCCCACCGGTACGGTACCAGTAGTACGGGACCACACTCCCGCACCTTTGTGGGCCGGCATCATAGGAAGAAGGGCAAGGTCTCGTTCTTTGTAATCGGCACTACTGTATCTTGCATCGCTGGCTACCGTAGCTAGTGAGCATTGGCTGCCTTCCATCCCATTGATGGTAGAAAGCAATCCACACAAGAAGCAAGCACCCGAGTGCTTTGCCAGCCGACCTGCAGCCAGACCTGCCGTAGAGTAGCTCTAGAGAGGTGCGCGCTCCGAGTAAAGCAGTCTCGAGCACGGCCTCGGTGGACACGAGTACCGGCACATCGTACTTCAGACTATCCTAGAAGTCCAGTATTCGGCCGGTGAACTGGCTGAGTTGTTCACACTGGTAGACGCATTCGGCCTTTCACAAGCAAATACGGTGGATGCTGTGGCGGGGGCTGGATTCATTGGATGGTATGGCAGGCCTACTACTGTTGCTTGCATAGCAACTTGCTTGTCCATCCCCAGTGCTGTCATCCGCCACGGGGAGAATAATGGCTCGTTTGGTTGTTCACGCTACAGGTACCCAGCTTCGCTTGGGCGCAACAGCGACATATGCACGCAAAATTGGCTTCACTCTCTGAGATGCTCCTCTCTGGCATGCTACATAAAACTTGAGCAAGAGTGGACGACGATACTGTCACTCAAAGCTGCGTCCTGCAGAGACGTACGTGTGCGTATCAGATTCTTTGAAGCCTGTCTATTGCTCTGGGAGTACTGAAGCAAATCGCTGCGGAACTGGCTCCAAGCAGTGATAACCAAACAGCTATCTACCGACTGGTAGGGCTATGATCAAAATACGGCCGTTCGTACCCTTCGAACAAGTCAAAGGCTCCGGCCCGTGTCCAGTGGTGCCTCGAAACGCATTGAATCCTACCGTCCGGGGCCGGTGCGTCTCTTTGGCGCTACCGGTACCGCGAGAACTCCTCAAACCAAATGGGCTTGCTACCGCTACACAGGTAGAGCTCTAATCATATTATACGGCCATTCGTACCGTCCATAGATGAATGGACCAATTAAGTCAAAGGCTCGGGCCCGTTTAGCTACGCACTGTGGTTCCGTGAAACGCTTTGAATCCTACCGGCACGTCCTCCGTAGGGCTAAACCGGATACGGTAGAGATGATAGCGGGTTCTAATGTAGTACTGTAGGGTTCATGGAAGCATTGGGCAGCTGACAAATACGTACGGTTGGGTGTTAGGGCTTCTGTGGCTGGATTCATGGATATTGGTATGGCCAGCAGGAAGTTTGCTTGTCCATCCCCGGTGCTGTCCGCCACCACGAGCACAGCGAGATTCAATGCTGACTCGTTTGCTGCATGGTTTCTGCGGAGCAAACGACTTCGTACAGCCAGCTTGGCTTGTCTGCTTGGATGCGCTACAGTCACCCAGCTTCGCTTGGTGCGAGTGCGACATCTGAACGCAATCTTCTCTGAGATGGCTGCTACATACCGTTAAAACTCGAGCAAGAGTGGACGGACGACGAGCGTCCTGCCGAGACGTAAATGTACCGGACTATGGCTCTTGGGCAGAGTTGGCTCCAAAACCAAACAAGCTAGCTAGCTACAGGTCCCGGTAGGGCTCTTAACAAAACAAAAAAGCTTTCGTGCTCTTTAAAGATGAGTGGACCGAGTCAAGGCCCGCAACAAACGCATTGAGACCTCGAGGAAAGTCGAGCGGAGACCATAGCCAGGTATTGGTAGCTTTCTTGACACTCCAGGCTGAGATGTTGCACGTTAACACGACGTATCATCCAACTTCCACTTTATCCCATCCCTCACAATCAGACTCGACTCATTGACCAACAGCTGGTGTCCTTGCGACATCTCGACCTGTCGTGCCGTGCCGTACCGTACCGTACCGTACTACAAAGTGCGTTTATCACTTCTGGATGATCCAAAGCCCAATTATGCTCATAGCAGCTATAGAAGAACTTGGTCTACACTGACATGGAGCAAGGGCAAAAAAGCATCGTATCATCCGAGCTGCGTTCGTTTGGCAAATTCGAATCGTATTGTTGCTTTCTATCACTGCTGCATCACTTGATTATGCTCATACCGTAGCAGCTATTGAAGAACTTGGATTACAGTCGCAGGCCAGCAAGGGCGAAAAGCATCGTATCATACGAGCTGCTCTCGTTGGGCCAATTCGAATCGTATTGTTGCTATATCTCATTCTTTCATTCCTTCCTCATTCGTACCCCACTTTTCCCACACCAGCCAACAACTCCTTGGCCAAATCCAATCCAACATCTTGTATGAATCCCTTGATCCATGCTCGAGCTCCTTGATCGGGATAGATGGCACCCCTATTCAGCATCTTGTACCGTCCAATACCACGAGTAAAGTAGGCTACTGCCACCGAGCCATCTGCCTTTTTCTTTGCCTTGGGTGGTTGCACTGCATTGGTATCGTTGGTTTCCTTGACCGTTCGAGGATCGGTTCGGAAAAAGTACTGTTCTTCGGTTCCCAGATAATGATGGACTCGGAGCAATGCCTTTTTGACATGATTGACGGATCTCATCTTGTCTGGATCGGGACAGTAGCTGGACACGTGATGCACACTGGTGTATGTTTTGATTTGTGGTAATTTCTTGATATTGATGAGATTTTTTCCATTGTGCATTCGTTTTGGATTACGAAACTGGAATCGTTGTGTCATGAAATCCATGCCATCGAATCCTTTGGGCATGTGTTTCTGTACCAGTGAATTTTCACTCTCCTTGATTCCAAACATGTATCGGGGCATGTAGCTGCAGGTATGATTCTCTCCGGTGAGCATATGATGTTGTTTGATGAATGTGAGTACATTGCCTGGTTTAGTGATCGGTATATGTTTGGTAATGTTGTAGTATAGACCAGAAGCATAGTTGTTGACAATGTACTCATCCGTGTCAATGAGCATGAGCCATTCCCTATTGCGTTGTTTGAATGTTCTCATGCACTGTGTATTGAAAGATTGAGGCAATTAATTAATGAAGAGGAGAACGATGATATGAGTGCGTCCATTTCATTTCGCCACCCCTTTAGAGCACATGCCACTCATCGCTTATGATCGACGCTTACCTTGAAGTAAAAGTTGTTTTGTCTGACTCTGTGCATCATGAGATCGGTATTATTGTGGAACATGGTAGCATTAGCCTTGACTTTCTTTGGCATGAACATGGTATCATTCCAAATACTGATTGCCATTAATTTTCGATCCTTCCATCGTTTGAGAATAGGCACGGGGGATGTTTTGGAGTCTGGGTCGACTGCCACAACCAGATATCGTAGTGGCTATATATATTCACACACAAGACGATCGAGGCGAGAGATTGAGTGGATATGTATGTATGTATGCATAAATAAACAGCATCGTGAAGAATCCAAGAATCACGAGGACATACGTACCATAGTGTGCCAGTGATAGGCCAACCACTCAATCACTGTGTGTGAATGAAGTAATGAAGAACACATGAGACAAAAACATGATCAGTGAGTGAATGATGGATGGAATGAACAGATAAACACAAATGAGGACTGCATTGCATGTCATGACTGAAATACTCACACCAATGATTGTCATCTTTGATAAGAATACATGCAGCAAATGCTTCTCCTGGCTCCAACTCGGGTGGAGGACCTGGATTGCTAAAATCTGGATCATCCTCCTCGACTTGCATTTCTCCCTTGATGAGTTTCATGGTTCCCAATTTGTCGTGTTTTGCCGTCTTTTTGTGTTTTTTTGTCGTCTTGTGAGCTATTTCTTCTTCTTCTGTTTTGACTACTTCCATGTCATCATTGGCAATGGCAGCGTCTTCCCCTTCATTGATAAAGTTTTCGTTTTCTTCCTTGTCATTAGGTTCCTCTGCTGGACCTTCCTGACCTTCCTCAGGAGTCTTGTCATTTGTGCTTTGTTCTTCCTCTCTATCAGTCTTGTCTTCTTCTTCTTCTTCTTGTAGTTGTAGCTTTGGTTGCGGTTTGTGCTGTGGTTGCTGTTTGTGCTTTTGAATCTTGTCATTATTATTATTAGTATTTGGAGTGAAAAAGAAAGCCTCTTTGTGCTGCTGCTGCTGCAGCTGATAGTGATGCAATGCGGGTGGTCCTTGATCGTATTCAAATTCTACCCGAATGGTGGGCATATTGATCGATTGAAACAACGCCATGCTAGACGCTCCAATACCAAATCCCAATAACACCCATCGCAGCGTCTTCCACACAGTATTAGTCTGCTGCTGTCCATGGACGTGATACGGAGATTCCATACTGGTAGCACTATTACTAGCAGTAGTTGTAGTGCCTTCAACATTATAGTACTTGTTCTTGCTGGGAGTGCCCATGGGATTGCCGTTGCTGCTGCTAGGACCACTGGGACTCATCATTGTAGTACTGTAACAGTAATGAAAGGAAGAGCTAAGCTTGCTTAGTAGTAGTAACTGACAATGGTGGGAAGCATGGATTGACTTCGCTTGACCTATTTTCTTCTCTTTATGGCCGTTGGTCTGAGTTTTTCTTGGTGGGCTTCGGTTCCACGCTTGCACTCCACTATTTTCAAACCCATTAGAGCTAAGGCTCATAGAAGCGTAGTGGGAGCTTGGATATTCGAAGCAAGACTGAACCTCCCCAATTTTTGGGCCGATGCCGTTGGTGCATGCCCTGGCTATCTACCTCGCCCTTACTAGTATTCCAATAGATAGATCACAACCCCAACAACACTAAACACTACACATATCATACTAGCTAGCTGGCACTTTTGTGGAGCCCCAGCATAGCAGTGGAATGCTAAGCTCAAACTTTGGTACTACGCCAGACCAAAGCATCAAGCATGTGAATGCGCAGCACAGTTCCAAACACAATGCAAGTCCAATGGTGGATTGATTTTGAAAGGACTTGCTTCAGCTCTTCACAGCACAATATAACATAAGCAGGTTATGCATACACGACATCTCTGTCTGAATAATCCAGCCTTTGGAACCGTCTCTGTCTTTTGGCCACTGCTCCGGCACTACATATTATATCCTTTCAAGCAGGAAAAGAAAGGATCATGGGACCGTTGCCAACACTTTAGCAGCTGCTGCAGGGGACACGCAAACTGCATCACAACCTTACACTCAGTCTATAGATACATGTACCAGTAGGCCTTCCAACTGCTTCTGCTGTCCACATCGCCATATACTGGTGCTAGCTCGCCCTGTCAATACGCTCACTTTCGCGCATTACATCGAAGCCTTGGTTAAAAATTGGGACGAGGATTCTTCCTAACTAACTTATTGCATGGCATCCATGATTGGCACTGCCTGCTGCCTGCATGAAGGCGACCAAAAGATGTTTCCAACAACCGACAATAAACCTACAGGGCGATTCCTCTCCTCCATTCCGACTCCATCCATATAGTTGTTGCAAACCACGTGCATACGTCTTGTGTATCATGCTTCCATAAGCTTCCTTGCTGAGGTTGGAAGCTAGCTACCGGTAGGTACTGTATTGCAAGAAGCCAACGGGGAACGGTACTATAAAGACGACAAGGAGGAATGTGTGATGATCAAGCACATCATGCCCGGGAAAAGCAACTTGTAACACTAGAAACAGCACAAGAGGGCAATAAGAATCAATATACTACTACTTTGAACCGGACAACAAGGCTACACAAGATCTCATGGTTGGCTCCCTTGCTTCCTAGAAAAAACGAACCAAAGACCTCTCCTTTGCTTCTTCATCAAACACCGCACGTCACCAACATGCACTCAGCACACAGCAGCCACGCAATCGCAACCAACATCGGATGCATTAGGCGGGCTCAGCCTTCTCGACCACTTCAATCTCGGGAGCAAACACCGGCTTGCCCTGCTTTTCTTTGTCGATCAAATGCATGGCAAACACAAGAGAACCCACAGCGACGACACAAGCAGCCACAATTCCAACAATGGCCCCTGTGGAAATGCCGCTCGATTCGACGGGAGCAGGACAATTCAACAAGCGTGCTTTCTCAGGATCATACGACCACTTGGGATTCAAGTCGACGTTGCAATAAGGCGCCGTCAATGGGAGAAGCTGCGTCACGGCTTGCTCCAGTCCAGCAAACTCTTCCTCCAAAAAGGTAGATTTGTCAATACCATGAATGACCGAGCGACGCACCGAAATGTCGTCGGTGGGAGACTTTTGCGTGTTCATGACGAGGAGAGCATGTTGCGTCACTTCGCTATGGCGGACATCAAACTTGTCGCTGTGGTAGAACTTGATTTCTTGGACTTGCTGGGCAGAGAGTGGTCCCACGCCCAAAGCCATATCGAGCTCTTCCGACAGGAGAGCTTCCTCAACGGCTTTTTGGTCGGGGTAATGCACGAGCTCCAGCTGTTCAATGCCAGTTTTCTGACCCCAGTAATCATCGTGGCGAGCAAACACCACCTTGGCATCCTTGCCTTCTTCTTCCGGGTGGGCATCACGAGATACATACTTGAAGGGTCCCGTTCCAATCGGATCTGTCAAGCCCTTGCATGTGATGGTCTCTTCGAGGAAATCCCATTTGGCCGCACCAAACCCACCAGGCTCACAGGAGTTATGCTCGTCGGCATCAGAGTCCAAACCATTGTGAAAGGCCTCGGCCGAAGCAAACACAAGTGGGCGAATGTAGGAGAGCTCCTGAAGGAGTGGATAAAAGGCAGTGGATGTCTCCAAAACCAATTCGCCACTATCGCTACATTCCCAGTTGGAAAGGTACTTGCCAGCACCAAACCACTGGTGTCGTTGTCGCACCGTATCCGAGAGGACGTGATCGAGGTTCAACCTTGCAACGCTGCAATTCCAGTTGCTTCCGTCATGGAACTTGACGTTTTCGCGAAGCTGAAAGGTGACACGCTGACCATCGCCATTGCTTTCCGTCTTCCAACTGGTGGCTAGAGCCGGTACGACTTCTCCGCCTTGTCCGTAGCCGACGAGGCCTTCGTAGATCCACGCCTGAGCGTAGAGGGCATTGGGACCGTACTGATGAGGATTCAATGGCCCGACGGTACCAAACAGCGATCCCACGCCTGGCGAAAGAGTGACCGTGGAGGATCCCTCCACCACTTGGACACTGGTGAGAGGCAGGGTATACGCCTGCGGGCCAGGAGAAAAGCCTGTTAGGCGACGGCTAACCACAAAGGGCGAACGGGTGCCCCACAGCGGCATAAAGACGGCCTGTTGATGGACATCGTTGAGGATCTCCTTCCATTTAGCTTGAATGACCTGAGGATCGAGTTCTTGCTGAACTTTGGCAATCTTGTCAAGCAGAGTCGCATTGGTCAGGGGAGGCTCCAGATTCCCAATGGCGCTGTATTCCACGTGAGCTGGTACTGCCCAAGAATCAAAGTAGGAATGAGGATCGTAGGGTGCTCCCCATGTGCGCGTAAAGAGGATGTTGTAATCTCCGTTCAGTTCTGCCTCGTCGTACTCTGTATCATTGAGGCTACGAACGTTCAGCGTGATGCCAATCTTGGCAAGGTTGGTTGCAATGTCGTCTGCCACCGCCTCCATCTCGGGATCTCCCTCGCTGAAGAAATGGAGAGCAACAGAAAATAAGGAAGTGCTGCAAAGGGAAAGAAGAGCCGCTAGACTCACAAAGACTCGACCTAGACAGGCCGAATATACACAGAATGATTGCTTCAGTCGCGACCTACCTGATGATGAAGTCCACGGTGGCTTCCTTGCAGTCTTGAGTAGCCATGGTATCGTTCCTACAATCAATCTTATCAAATATCCTATCAAAGTGATTTCTTCTTGCTGATCTTCTGTTTGCACAAAATGAAACAAAACGAGGTTGAAACGGTGGCAGATCCACCTGCCTTCAAAGATCCGAGACCGAAAAGATGCCAAGATCGAGAAGGCAGACGTATGATCCGGCAAGGAACCAATGAAAGATCCTCTTAGAGCGAATATTAGCCACCTATTTGACAACAGGCCAATTCGAAATTACAAAGGAATAAAATATTAAAATCAAGAACATTCCTTCGTATAATCTTCTGGAAGTTTGCCCGGAGAACCTTCAGGTAGTTCGTCCGTGTTGCTCGAGGCTGATATTTGGAGCTGCCAGGCGCACTTCTGGGTTTGTAGCTACCGTACCCCCTCTTCGATGAAGGACAAAGGAGAAGGATGTTGACGGGATCCCCGGTTTGAATTGCAATCTACGTAGCCTAGCTAGCTAGTAGGGGTTGAGCAAAGGAACTGACTGGGATCCACATAGTCTGGGGGTCGCCCCCCCGTCACTGCAGCTCATTAAATGGCTAGCCCCGGTATGGTTGCCCAGCATTGGCCTCGGCACTGCAAACCCTACAATAGTTGGCCCCAGCACCCCCGCAACAGCTGGACCCAACACCGTAGACCCACAACAGCAGCTTTGTCCCCAGCATTGCAATTCCTACAACTTTAGACAACACCAGCCTGCTCCGGCTTTGTCCTCGGCATTGCAATCGTTTGTCCCAGCACTGGAGATCCCACCACAGTTCCCCCCAGCACTGGAGATCACACTACAGTCCTCAGCCCCCGAATTGGCCTCAGCGCTGCAACCCCTACAACCATTTTGCCCCAGCACTGTATTTCCACAACAGCTGCTGGCCTCGCCACTGGAGATCCCACAACAGTTGGCCCCAGCACAAGAAAAACCACAATAGTCAGTCCCAGCACTGGCCCCATCACTGGAGTCCCCTCAGCTGCTTGTCCTAGCACTTGAATTCCCAATATGATTGGCCCCAGGGCTGGAGTCCCACAACAGTTGGCTCAAGCACCATTCTCTAGTTGACTTTATTGACAATTATCATTTGCCAAGTACAGTTCTAACACAGGTGGTCCAAGTCGGCTTTCAAAAGGTGTGATGTACTAGTAGCCCCAGTAGAATGGTGGTGGTGAGGACGTTCATCGAGACTGATTATACTCTGGTAGCCCCCCGTACCGCTACCGGTATCCATGGCAAATGCTAACATACCTGAAGTTGCACCTCTTTTGAATCACAATCGAATCGAATTGAATTGATCTGATCATCCAGATCCCGCTGACTTACGTCGAACGTGACCGTGACTGAGTCTCCCCAGGGTAGGTTTCAATCCGCTCCACCAGCTTAATACGGCTGGCTTATTGCGAACCAGGACAATACGGATAAGCTGCGGAATGCGGACACTCCTTCCAAAGCTGGAAGTCATCACAACCAGACTGCAAGAGCTGCTGCAAGTCACATGGAGTGCTCCGAAATATGACCTGACGGCATCGACCCCCGTGCTTGCTTCTTTTCGGTGCAAGAGGAACCGCGCGGGGATCCGTTCCGCACACTTTCGAGGGGCATACTAAGTTGAGAAGGAGTAGAGAGGACGGCGAGTAACATGAAACGTTCTACGCTGACTATTAATAGATGTGAGGCATCTCGTTTTCGTCTCTCCAAATGACACTGAAACTTGGAATGGCGCATGCGGATTGTTCCTTGGGTTCTATGCCGTTAAGACCAGCAAATGCAACATGCAACCTTTAATGAACCGCGGGAGTTGGGACTCTAGAGGGCAAACACCTGCCCGCGAAGAGGAGCATTGAAGCGAACCAAGAGGACGCAGAAGACAGTTCTGGCTTTGTCGCTGTTTTTCGACCCCCGTGGACAGCAGATGTCGGAAGACACTGGCGCAATCTCTGGCGTTGTGGTAGTTTTTCGATTCCCGAGGACCACCAGTAGCAACAGCGTAGATTTCTACAGCAGCAAGTCATTCCCAAAACACACTTCAACAACAGAAAACCTTGTTGTTTCCTTCACTGTGATCCAACTGTACACAATGGACATTCTCAGTCATGGAGAAGTACGAAGGCATTAAATCATAAGATGTCTTTGAGTTCCACGGCTGTTCCCTTGAACTCCATCACCCGAACCTGTGAACTCCCGCGGGGAAAACCAATTCCCGTGCTTGAAGTAGAACTCCCGTGTTGTGCTTCTGCCCAGGTGCAACTACGGTACGGTTCGTACGTAGCATGCTGGTAGCCCAAAACATGGAAAGCAGCAACCAGCCGAGCTTGGGGTATCCAGAGGGGCCCTTTCCCAAAGCAACCCATCTTTCTCACAATCTCGAAAAGCGAGAAACAAAAACCGCCACAAAACAAAGCAACAGCAAAAACTTTGACTCTACTCTCTCAACTTTAGCTTCTCCAAGATGATGATCCACACCACGACCACCAACACCCTTCCCCGCGTCAACAGCAACGACAAGTCCAAGAGCAGCGCCATGGCGACTCGCATGGGCAAGATGAAACCCACCAAGGATGCTGCGCCCCTCAAGAAGCTCTCTCCTGACTTTGACAGCCCCATCTATGACGATCTTCGTGCCTCTGTCAATGCCATCCTTGAAGTGTCCACCATGTTTGAACTCAAGAGCTCTCGTGCCAAGGGAGTTGTCCTTTCCTGCGGATCCAGCGACCCAGACTCCAAGGAAGCTGGAATGGGTGTCTCCCTGCTGCCCCTCAAGACCATGTCCGCTCAACCCGGAGTCCTCTTCACCGACAATCCTTTGATCTCTGTGTTGGGAAGCTACGCCAGCAACCAGATGGATGATAGTGACGACGAAGATGACGCTTCAGAGCCATCTGACGACGAACTCTTGCCGCAGCTTGTGGTTGGTCTCTGCTGCAACAACTGGGGCATGTACTACGGCCGCAACGCTCTCATTGAAGCCATCTTGGAAGTCATGGGATCGGATCACGCCTGCAAGCTCTCTATCCACTCTGCCATCTACGCCTTGGACTTTAACACTCAAGCTCTCTCCAAGATTCTTCTGACACCCCAAAACGACCATGACGCTGAAAAGGCCGACCGTGCGCTCCACGCTGTCGGCTTCGAAGCGACTGCCGCCAAGTACAACGTTGGCTTTGATGCCATTGAGAAGGACCAAGACCTCTTCGCCGGAGTCTCCAAGACGGACTTTGTCGAGGAACTCTCCAATGCAGTCTCCCAAGCTGTCGAACGCACCATGGCCAACGATGGAAAGACCGTCACCTCTCTCGTCATGGAAGTCTTGCGCCACCGCAAGCTCATCCAAAAGAACCTCTCCAACAAGCGCTTCCGCCGTGCTCCCAGTCAGAATGGCATTGCTACCGCCTGCAAGAAGCTTGGAGAGCTCGTGGCATTGAACTTTGGCAGTCCCGACCTCTCCTTGGCGCAGAAGATCCCCGGATGGAAGGACTACACTGAGTCTCATGAAGATGCTGCGCACGCCCTCATTGGTCTCTTTTGCCATTCCGTCGATGTCTTGGCCGGATGTGTGGCCCGAGCTCCCAACTCGGAAGTGACACCTGATCTCGCCGAGCGCTTGATCTTTACCATCCTCGAGGAAGACAACCGTTTGATGGAGTACTGCTTCAACCAAGTCTATGAACTCATGCCGTCCGAAACTGAGCCCAAGATGTACGTCTACCGTCGTCTCGGTGATCTTGGCCTCTTCTCTACCATGGATTGCGGAGCCTTGGACATGGGAGGCAAACTCTAAGGCCCCTTTTCTTCTCAGGGGATCAACAAGAGCTTCATTTATACATTGCTGGACCCATGATACCAGTGCCAACACTGGCAACACTTCTACGCACTACATTTTCGACGGGAATCCCGTCCATGCACCCTAGACCGAAAGAAGCGACAGATAGTCAAGAATAAAGTTAACCAAATATATAGTCTCTTATTACAAATTACTTGGAGGCTTGTCAACTCATAGCTAGCTAGTAGCCTGCATATTCTTTCACTGACATCTCTCTCTGTCTCTGTCTCTCTCTACCGGCATCTATCTCTTCTCCTCGAGGCTCTTGGTTCCTCAAAATCCTGAAGAACGGATCGAATCTCATTGCCTTGCCTTGACCTCACTTTCCCTCGACGTGAGGAAGGTTGCCTCCTCGTTGCTTGCCTCGCTGCCAAGGCCGTCAGCACATGCATACAAGCAACCAAGTGATTAAACCTGTTGCTGCATTTTGCTCCGCAACTGAGACTTGGTGGGTCCATCGACTTGATTATTTAACAAAATGGTCAGGTTTATCTTGCACGTGCCGTCCCTCCACCCTTTGCGAGAGGCCAAGGATCTTTTTGGGAGACGGAAACTGAAAAGTGAGAGTTTGGAAATCAGATCTCAACACCCCCTTTATGTGACTTGGGCACCTCTCTGGCAACCTCTGTTGGAGTTTCTTGGTTGCTGTCAAACCACTTTTATGAAAGTTTCGGCTGGAAAGTGGCCTCGCTACGGTACCACCCTACGCTTTTCCTGTGGTCTATACTGTATTACCTGTACTAGACTAGCTAGTAGAACGGCAACCGAGAAGGCTATACCACCTTTGAACTCTAGCTATAGAGTCTTTCAAACAGATTCTGTTTACATGTGTGCTCGTATCAAGGCTCCTTCCAATTTATGTTGGCAGAATCGAAAACAGTTACTGTACTCAGGGGGAATCGAATCTTGCTAGGTGCTCAGTTTGGTCTCTCCATCTCCCAAACATCCCCACCTCTGCTGGGAACTGGGAATAGCCAGATTCAAGTCGATTCAATTCCAATTCACGTAATCACTGGACAAGACACTGTTCTTGGGGGCCCCGGAAGGGCACACGAGAAATGCTTGGATGATCGCGAAGGATCGATTTGATTCGGTTCCCTTCATCACTTCGCCGTTGCCTATTTCGACAAAGAAATTGCCAACTATGATACATGTACAGATAAGACTACTAGTATTTTAAAACTATCATTTGCTAACTGGCTAGCTAGATACGTGAGAAAAAAATGTGAAACAAGCAGCTACATGCATGTACAAGTTTGTTGAATCGGCACGTGCACCTCGTACAGCTGTACCGGTGTGGCGGTGCTTGCAGTCAGTCCCGCCTCGACTCGACTCGACTCGGATCTTTGGGTACTGGAACAGGAACCCGAATTTAAAACAATACGCATTAGGGATTAGGGTTACCAGAGAAGGGGTACTGTACTGTACTGACTAGCTAGCTAGCTAGACAGAGTAACAAGCCTTTTGTAAATAAAGACCAGCAATAATTTTTAAAATAGTATTTTGTTTTCATACTTTTTAAAAAAAGAGGGTTTCATTTCAAATTGAGCACCTCGCGCGATCTCGCGCGAGATCGCGCGAGTTCGCGCGAGATCGCACGAGGTGTTCGTGGGACTCAATTTGAAATGAAACGTAATTATGAAAGTGTCACCTCGTTGCTATCCGAAGTGACCCTGGAGTTCGCTTGAACATATTTGCTTCAACCGTTTCTTTAAACATTTCGAGAAAAGAGTCATTGTCAAAGAACCCTACTTCGTGCTCAGTTAGATGACATTTTAGTGGCTACCTTTGCAAGGGCATTCCTTCTAACAACTCAACAACAATCGGCGGCAAACTGCACCAACTCAAGAGCTCACCATTGCAGTTTGCATCGGTGACCAGAAGCAGTCTCTTCTTGCTCGGTTTTTCGAGCGTTGGTCTCCGGAATGATATTATGGTATTTCTTCGGCAGCACTATCCGATACCAGGCTACTAGCTAGAGTATTGGTACCGGTATTCAGCAGTAAGAGAACAGAAAGCAAGTATTGGTTTTCTGTTTTCTCATCTACTCTAGTATTCTCTTCACTTCGGATACTGAAAACATCCGGTGACTAAGTACTTGCCCTGACCTTGTTCTCCAACTTGACTGCTTCATAAAATTAATGGTTTTTCATTGTGCATTGACTTGCCTCTTGCCTCTCTTCTGTGCTTCTCAACTCCTTTAAATCCGGAAATACGGTGGGCTCCCTCTAACTCTCAACAACAGCACTCAATAGCTACTCAGTACAATGTCATAACAGTATAATCTGGAGTAAAGCAACTCCTCCAAGAATGGTCAACTCGTTTCTAAGCCTTGTGGTGGAAATACTAGCTAGTAGCTCTCTTCGACGTTTACTTGCGGCATTTCTTTTTCTATCGACCTCTTTCTCGGACTTAATAGTTCCATTCTCCAGAGTATTTGAAAAGGGTTTGCCAAAGGACAAAAGAACACTAATAATATTGCTCACTGGGTATCGTACCGGTTTCGATGGAATGTTCTATGTTGTTTGCTGCTTCTAATTATTTTGGCAATCTTGGTTTCTTTTGCACGGAAGCTGTCAGCAACTCGAAGGTGCTCAAAAGCTCACCAGCTCGTGTATCGGTGCATCGGTAGGTGACCAAAACGGCCCCTTTTCGGTTGTGTCTTCTCATAGAAGATAGTTGATGACTTCTTAGGTGTTCAGCCACTGAGACTGGCATTGTCATACCGCGTCACCCAGGCAGCAGCCATGGAGTAATAGCATCGAGAATCCCCTTTCTTTGCGCCATAAAACCCAAGCATCGACAACCAAAAACCCACCTTTCAGCTCCTTTCGATTCATTCTACATTCAGCGAACGCGGTTGAAACCATCTCCATCACCATCAGTTCAAAGCCCTGACATCACACAAAACAACTCTTGGCCGCAGTGAGAATCCGGACTTCACTCGAACTTCGAACACGCAAACATGCACAAAATGGATCAGTTCCAAGATGATTTGAACGACTCTTATAACTCTAACATATCCCACGAGGAGGAAGCAGTATCTGTGGTTATTGGCATGACAGAAGAAGACCGTGATGAACAAGAACAGAAGAAGCAAAATGAAGAGTTGCTCCACATTGTCAGGACCGAAAACCAGGCAGTTTTCTGTCTTCGAAGGACACTCCTCGTGTGCCTTCTCGTCTCTGCCATAGCTTGTGCCTTGCTCGTGTTCCTGTACAGCTCCAATGAGGAACAGGAAGCATACAATGAACAGTTCGACTCTGACGCACAGAAGCTCTTTGATTCCATTGGTACAAACTTTGACCTGACCATGGGGACAGCGGATGCTTTCATGTTCCAAATCATCTCGCAGGCAAAGTCTACCAACACAGTTTGGCCTTATGTCACGATCCCTGATCTTCCTCAGAAAAGTGCCAAACTCATCAGCCAGACGGACTCCATCTACATGGCCTTTTATCCACTCATCACTGGGGAGAAGCGACAAGCGTGGGAGAACTTCACCAGGGACAACGATGGCTGGGTGCAAGACTCCCTCAGAGTCCAAGCCAGAAACCCAAACTTCCATGGGCCTGTCCTGGAAAACTACAACTACACTGTTAGTCATGTCATCTGGAAAAATGATGGACCAGAAAGCTATGAGAATGAGGGACCCTTTTTGCCTTCCTGGATGGGATCTCCTGTCATTCCCTCCATTTATTGTAAGTCAAAGTGTACAAAGAGGACAGAGTACCTTTGGATGCTTCTGCATACCCAGCAATTGACATGTCCACTAACCAAATTCAACTGACCCTAACGTATGTATTTCCTCAGACCCCTACAACTGGAACTCCCTTGCGTATGAGGCATTCTCCAAAGGGCTAGTAACCGGCATGGAAACATTATCTGTGGTGGTTACTGCAGTAGCCAACCATGCCGATCCCAATGATCCTGTAGCTGTTGCCCAAGCTGCCACAAGTTCTGATTGGGCCATTCCCTATCTTGATAGCAATGAAGACACCAATGAGCCCTTTGCTGACATGTACTACCCGGTGATTGACTCCATTGATGATGTACAAATCAAGACTACTGATCAAACCGAGGCACTGGGGTCAGTGGGTTTCACTTTCTACTGGAGGCATGTACTGAAGGGCTCTCTGCCTCACAAATCACAAGGAGTCATTATTGTGTTTCACAATGACTGTGGTGACCAAGTCTTTACATACCAGATTGACGGGAAGGAGCCCACCTTCCTTGGGTTTGAAGACCTTCATGACCCCCAGTACGACAATAAGGCTATGACCCGCAATCTTAATCAACTCATCAACGTGAATGGCATCTACTCTGGACTACCTATGAACGATGAGTTCTGTCCCTACACACTCACCATCTATCCATCCTCCACCATGAAAGACATGTTTGTGACAAAAGACCCAGTCATCTATGCCATTGCTGTCACTGTGATCTTCCTCTTCACCACTCTGACATTTATATCCTATGATTGGTTTGTAAATCGACGTCAGAATCTCATCAAGAAGAGGGCTCTAGCTTCTGGAGAGATTGTGGCTTCTCTTTTCCCAGAGCAAGTTCGTAATCAACTCTATCAAGACAAGGCAGGAAAGGATGGTCGTAACTCTAGAAACCCTTTTGGAGAGTCACGATCCTTGCTCGCGACTTCCAATCTTGGGAAAAATTCAAGCAACAGGGGAGGAAATGGCAGTCCCAATGCACACCTCTACAAAGATACCTCCATCTTCTTTGCTGATTTAGTTGGTAAGTCTACTGGCTTGACACTGAAGCTTTGCTGGACTAAGCTGATTCTCAATGGTTGTCTTATGCATCTGAAGGATTCACCAGCTGGAGCAGCACCCGGAAACCCGAAGAGGTCTTTGAGCTCCTTGAGACATTGTGTAAGGATTTGCCAGCTTGTTTGGCTTGTTCATAGCCATGTGCCGCCCCTGCCTCTCTAAACAATTCATGTGCTCACTTTGGCTATCACCACAACAGATGGAGAGTTTGACAAGATTGCCCGCAGACGCAATGTATTCAAAGGTACAGTAGCCTCTTGTGACCCATGACCTAAGCTTGATCAATGGACAGAACTTATCCATCCCGATTCCCTCTGTTCCTATCAGTTGAGACAATTGGGGATTGCTATGTTGCTGCCACAGGAATCCCAGATCCCCAACCACAGCATGCCGTTATCATGGCAAAATTTGCTCAGGAATGCTTGGAGAAGATCCATGTTGTGACACAAGAACTAGCAGGGAAGCTAGGAGAGGACACCATGGACTTGGCCATGCGTGTGGGAGTTAACAGTGGCAGCACTACAGCAGGTGTTCTTAGAGGAGAGAAGGGTCGATTTCAGCTTTTTGGTGATACTGGTATGGAACTTTGTCTCCCCAGCTCTTCACAGAATCCTTATTTTTCACACAGCTGACCTCAATTCCTGCCTTTTGTGCAACACAGTCAACACAGCTGCAAGAATGGAAAGCAATGGAGTCAAGAATAGGATCCAGGTCTCTCAGGTATGCCGGCGATGTCTCACTGTCTTCATAGCAGACCATAGTCTTCTGAGCCAACTAACTCATGCTTGCAATAATACACTCAACTCCATAGGCCACTGCAGATGAACTGATCAAGGCTGGGAAGGGTGGTTGGTTAATCCCGCGAAAGGAATCAGTCGTGGCAAAAGGTATGTGTCACTTTTGTGTAGTTGACATGATGTTGACAGTCAAGAGTCTGCTAACAGATCCTATCGTGCGTACTTTGGCTTGCACATTAAAGGCAAGGGTGAAATGAAAACCTACTTTGTCACGGTCAAACGGAGCAATAACACAGCATCAGTAGTGAGTGATCCCATCGGAGATAGCTCTTCTGCAATGGGTCGGCTCCGGAACAGGAGTAACCTTGATGACATCCCGAGCCTTCTTCCAATTGAGCACACTATTGAAGTGTAAGCATTGAGCAGCGTGGATGCATGACTAAAAGCCTGGTAGGCTCCGGGGAACACCTTGCAGTTTCCTTATACATACAGTTTCATGGTTTTTAAAAGTGTTCCATTACATGGCTTCAGGTGCTTCTAGATAGCTCAGCGGGAAAGGGAAGCAGTCCCGAAAGCATAAAAGTCCAGTTGCAATATTTCTTGAGCCACACACCCTCTCAGCGAAGATTGGAATCAATAAGCGCTGCACCTGCCACAGGCCAAGCCAGGTGCTCTACCACCTGTTGTATGATGCAGGATTCTCAGTGTTCAGCTTCCAATGATTGAGCGAGAACAAGGCTAGGACAAGAAGGACGACACTTCTTGCTACCTCCGCCTCGGAACATGTCGCATCTTCGGGTATCACACCTGGGCCTTCTTCGCTTAGGTCTCAACAAATACACTGGCACGTACGGGCCAGTGCCTCTAGCCTTGGGTGGGAAGTGAAGCTGTCTCACAGCTTTCATATGATGCTTCCAGAGAGGCCGTAGCACCTTGTCCAGCTTCAAGCGCGGCCTTGCCAGAGATGCAACTCTCTGACTGTCGCCTTGCCGCATAGTCAAAGGTCAACATGACGTCATAGTTTTTGCAAGTAGAAGAAAACCACTTGCTTGGTGGGGCCTCGACTCCGTACGCGTCATCTTGCCAATCATCGAGTTCCGTGACACTCGAAGAGAGATAGTCTCCGCTGCCCGCTTGTTCCCATTCAACAGTATCTTTCTTGATCGCCGTGCTTCCACCATTTGGGACATAGCAATAATATCTACCTCCCCAAGTATAGGATTGATCACTCCAACCACATCCCTTTCCGTCGGGCCAGTGAGGACGACCATTGAGGTGCAGAATTACTTCGGCCCAGGGGCCCAATTTATCAATCCATCTACCACCTGCTATGTTGATACGCTTGATTCGAACAAGCTTATCATAACAGTTCCCATCAACCATATTCTCCACCTCAGACTCGCTCTTCTTGTTGTCCTCATCATCCTCGTCGTCCTCATTCTCATTCTCATCCTCATCCTCATCCAATCCACGAAGACCCTTGTGAAAATTGGATCCTTTTGGAAGCAGTTTCATGCAGGGTCTTCTCCACGGCGGCAAAACCAGGCTTCTGCTGTCCCAGTTCTTTGGAAGTGATGCCTCCCAAAGTCATTTCAACAGCAGCAAAACTACAGCAAGGAAAAGGCAGGTGAAGATGCTGAAGCACTTCATGGTGGACATGTCTGAGTGTTCCGATACCGTGCCAGAAAGGAAATTTCGGAACGATGATGGCACCATGGCAACAAAGCAAAGCAGCAAGGCAGCATGAGACAGAGCTCCAAAGACTGGCACATGATTGCATATCTATTATAGGTTTACCTTCAAATCAATTGACTAACTTGGTCGCCATATGCACGGCTGTTTCACCGAAGCCCGACTTAGATTGTGATCAATCAGTTGTCTAGTAGGATCCATGGCCGACTTTGATCAACGTAACGGTATCTTGGCGGGGAAACGGAGAACCGCACGGTGTTCTTGCCACGTTCTGCCATAATGCCACTTTTGGCCGTACCCTTATATCCCGAGCCGCACACTAAATCTCCAAAGACACCTCTACCCGCCTGTACTGTACCTTTGCCTTGCCAAGAGCCAAGACGACGAGACACGGCTACGACCAGCCTGCATGCTGTACGATACATTCTTCGTTGCTTTGGTCACAAAAACCCAAACAAGGGAAAAAGCGAGCTGCATTCAATTCATTTGACAGGCAAACAAGCAAACATGAAGTTGTTGTACATTGCTTATTATTGGTGGGTCTTGGCAAGTGCACCCATTGCATTAGGAAAGGATGATGGACATGTTCGTGACTTAAAAAAAAAAAAACTGAACGTCTAATAACGGAGTCAGACGAGATGTGCTTGAGGACGACCCACGAGCGGAGGCCCGGGTATTTCGCCTTCTCTGTTCCTTCTCGTAACTGATGCTCAAAACTGTGAGGCAGGTTGCCTCGGAAAATAAGATTGCATCGCGAACTGCCTGCAAGATCGTCGGCATTTCCGAGAAGCTGCAGCGAACGACGGTAGCAGCGATGATACATGTAGTGATTCATCGGATGAGGAAAATTGAGAGGTGACTGCAGTGGTTGCCCCCCCCCCCCACCAGGCTTACGAAAGGAAGCCTAGGACAACTCGGAGCCTTGGTTGTTTGGTTGGTTGGTTGCAACATACCTATTACCAGCACCGTACAGGTGAAGCGTGGCTCATACCGTACGGTAACGAAATGGTTGAATAAATCTACTTGTGAATGAGTCACTCGACTTTGCCATTGTACCGGTAGCAGTTCTTCGCCGTAAGGACCAAAACGGTGCATTTCCCAGGTGTCTTGCCCACAAAGTTAAGCTATGTATGACCAGCATGGCTTCTTTGCCATGGCAACCGGAAAATTAGTAGCTGGCTTGTCGACTCTCTTTCCAACCTACCGGTACATGCACATTCTTTGACCCTGCGACTACATGTACCCTGGCGGTACGAGAGTGTTGATTATGTGGCGCCAACTGGAGTCTGGATTGAATCGATTTTGCCATTCCCTGCTCCTTTAGAAGCTTGGCCCAACGATGTTTGGCTGTTCCTTGGGTTGGAAATCGTACGAAAGAGGACCAAGTCGGCCGAGTACCTGCAGGAAAAAGGGTACCGGTACCGACGTACCGACACAGGAATCACCACCAGAACACCGGGAAATAAGTAGTGTGTAAAAATTGTGGTGTAGCTTCCTCTTGTTTCCTCTTCAATCAATGACTCGACTTGACGACGTCCGGCCGATCTGTTCAGGCTGTTGGTAGGACTTTCCTGGGCCGTCCATAGTTGACAAGGAGGCATGAATCCGATGTGAGGATTGATTTCAATGACTCGACGACGATAGATCCGTTCAGGCTGCTATTAGCGATCGTTCGAAAAAGGGCAGAGGCTTGAGTGAGGCTTGGGTATACATTGTGTTGGTGTAGTATGCGAGGCTGCTTCCAGAGGAGGAGCCATATCTTCTCGTGCCCTCGCAAACTCCCATGGCAAACAAAAAAAGCACTTCAGCCAACTTGTCTTGAAAGTTAGCTGGAGAACTGGGAAAGATAACCACCACGGTCTTTTAAAAGTGAACGAGCTGAAAGCTTCCTACTAGCTAGCTAGACTAGCTAGCTAGCTAGCTACATGTATTAAGAGTCTAGACTAGCTGGCTGGCTAGCTAGTGGGCCCTCCGGGAGATCTTAACTTGTAGAGAGAGCAACAGTTACATGTACATGTACTGATTCAGCAATAACCTCCATCACAAGTTGGATGATACCGTCCTATAGTACTGGTACCGGTACTAGTATTTTTAAATAAGTACGTGTTGAAGTGCTGTCACGTATGTTAGTCACTCGTACCTCTCTCCCGAGCTCTCCCGCTTGCATATGTGCGTCATTCAGCTGTCATTCTGTCTTCCACAGATGACTTTGGAGGGGTTACACGTGTCCAATTTCTGTGAACATAATTACAATCTTGACACCACGCGTCGCATCACGGCGGTTACAAGCCACCGTGTTGAGAGATCTAACCAAAGAGGAAGTCGATTTTTGACTGTGGAACCTGGTGCGTCGGATGACCCCCTTGCCTCAATTTTTTCATTTTTAAAGAAAATGATCTGGTTGGAAATTTTCGAAAACCAACAAACTTCTGCGCAAAGGATTTCCACTATTTCCACCTGGATTCAGAAATTTCCTTTCAGAATCCCAAACCATCCTCCTCGCTCACCGGCTGCAGGTGGCTAATAAACTGAAAACGTCGAAAGTCAAAAGCATGACACATAGATATGTACCAGCCTCGACTCGCTTGGATACCTGGGTGTTAGCACCCACCTGGTTGAAGGATCGTATTGCGCCCTTGGTTGACTGGCAACTTGAAAGATCTCAAATCAAACTTCCCACGGCGTTGTTCACCGTTGCCTCACAAAACTTGCCTCATTATTTCCCAGACAGGAAAGGGAAATTCAATCGGAAAGAAAGCCCCGTCCCCGAGACAGCTTTGTCCGATTCGACGTTTTTTGTGCTAGCAACCTTGCTCTTGTTTTCGAAACAATGAAGTTCCTACCCCAAGTTACTCGCTTTCTGATCTCGTCTCTGGCCATTGCCAATTTGGCAAAGGTACGTCGAATGCTTCTAAAACATCTTTGTAACGGATGGGGTCCCAATGGATGGATCAACACTGTGTCGCAGCCGAAGCCTTGCTTCTGTCTTGGTCCACCACATTGCTCTTGCTCGATTCTCATGGGCGCGAATTCTTCTTCTCGTCACTACTTATAGGCATCGTTTGACAAAACCCATGAAGTTGGGAACGATTTGGACGACTGGACTACTGACACTCTCGTCGCTGACCCTGGTCCTCAACTCGTACACACTCGTCTTGGTGCACCCAAGAGTGTTAATGTCTCCAGAAAGCTCGAGGATGAGGATAGCGATGACAGTGAAGAGGATGCTTCGGATTCTTCTGATGATAATGACAGTATGAAAGACCAAATTCTTGAGCTGATGAAGGAAGTAATGCCTGGACAGGTATGAAGTCAATGGCATTGACAAACCAAACTTTGCAGCCAGGTTCTCATTTTCATTTTTGAACGCCACTCCCCTGCAGGTAGCGAACATTGACCAAGTTATGAAGCAGTATGAAGGAAAAGAAGAGAGTCTGTTGAAGAGATTGGAGACAATGAAAGCCAACGCAGATGCTGCGAACGGCCAGTCGGGTAGCTCAGGTCAGTCTGGTGGCTCAAGTCAGTCGACTGAGGAGGAAGATTCCAGTTCTTCCGGTGATTCTGCCGATCTGAAAGATCAGATTCTGGAGCTGATGAAAGACGTAATTCCCCATGAGGTATGGAAGCTATGGCAGCGACGAGCAAACTCTCTGGCATAATTGGCATGGGTATCTCATTTGATTATTGAACATTGCACCTCATGGCAGGCAGCAAACATTGACAAATGGATGGGAATGTATAAAGGAAGAGAAGAATCGTTTTTGAAGTCCTTGCAGACAATGAAAGAACAGAGAGATGCACAAAAGGCAGCGCAACAAGGTGGGTCTGGTGGAGGTCAGTCTGGTGGTGGCCAATCTGCTGGCGGAGGTCAGTCTGGTGGTGGCCAATCTGCTGGTGGAGGTCAGCCTGATGGTGGCCAATATGCTGGTGGAGGTCAGCCTGGTGGTGGCCAGTATCCGGGTGGTCAGCCTGGTGGTTATCCTGCTGGTGGAGCAAGGAAAAAGCCCAAGCCCAGACCCTTTACTGAGCAAACTCCCTTCCAGGACTGTACGATGTCCCAGATGGGTATAATCCCAGACGAATTTGATGAAATGGGTAATTGCTACCCAGATTTGAGCATGCCACTTACTCTAATGGACGCACTAATGGGTGGATTGACAGATCTGGGCGGAGACGACCTCACGGTGGATAAGATCGTTGATGAGGCATTCCAGCCAATCTTTGAACTTTTGAGAGACCTTGCACCATTTGGAGAAGACCTCACTGAGGCAGCAATTGCTGTGATTCAAAAGGGTCTTGATGATGTGAGCAGTGTTACATCAGACCTTGCTGATCAGGCGGTCAGTGCAGTGGAAGATGTAGTGGAAGATGTAAAAGAGGAAACCATTGGAGATACCCTTGAAGACATGGAAGGCATCCTTGAAAAGGGCAAAAATCCTCAAGCCCCCCCTGGAGCTCCCCCTGGAGCAGCTACAGGTGCAGAAAGTAACGCAAGTGGTATGGGATTTGATGCTCAGTTCTGCGCTGGAGATTTTGTTGGCAAAAGAATTTTTTCACCAGATGCGGCCATGGGTGAAATTATGATCCCCATTTGCACTAAATTGCCTTTGAAGACCAAGAATGGGGAAGAATGGAGTATTTTTGCAGGTGACGTCAACCTTCCGGCTGATGTTGATGCTGAGGTGTGCGGTGGACAAGGAAAACACCGTCGAATGTCCTTTTGCCTTGCTGTTTCCACTTGCCATGTCCTACCTTCAATTGCCTTCATTTTTGATGAGGAGACAACAAAATGCCTCACTGCTCGCTTGGAAGAGACTGTAAATGGCATTTCCAGCCTTCTAAACTCAGGAGAAGGCACTGACACCACTGTTGGTTTCACTCTGTCCAATGCTTTTTCGATGGACAGCGAAGTCTATGCTAACGGTGAGCACTTCAGCCACAAAGCCAGTCCAGAGCTCTATACCCAAACGTCCTCCAAGATTGATTCCAAGATGATCCTCCCTGAGCTTGATGGTTGGTTCACAATCACTGGAGATCTAAGGCAGGGAATTAACATCGTGAACCCCCTAGGACTACCTATCAGTGAAGATATCATTGACGGCACTCTTGACAACCTTGGCAAAATGGAACCAGAAGAGATTCTCAAGGTTTTTTCTTCAGTTGTGGTAACATACACAATGAACGGCAAATTCAACTTGAAGGTTGGCTTTGATAAAATGCCTGTGAGTCCATTGTACTGACCAGTTCCAGTCAACTTTATTCATCCTTCCCATCTGATCTCACCACTGTCTTGCTTCTTCATTACACAGCTCATTGGCCACATGTTAAAGCCTATTGATATGCAATTTGAGGATGCTTCTATTTTAATCTCTTCCGGAAACAGTGAACTCACATTTGAAAACGGTGATACCACTGAAATCTTTCCAGGGTTCTCGACCTACATTGGTTTGAAAGGAAATGGCAAAGCCATCAGAAGTCTTGTTACACAGATCTTGATGTCTATGGATGGTATATTTGTGAGTTGACTTGCCTATAGCTTGAACATGTATTGCTTGTCGAAGCTAACACAATACAATTAACTCATTGCTACTGATAGGATACAATGTTGGCAAATATGCCACTTGGCCCACTTTTTGAGAGCTCTGTTGATCTTGTCTCGGAAATTGGCACTGAATTCATCATGGACAAGCTGGAGTTCATGGCAGTTGATTCCTCCAAAGACTATGGGTTTGGTGTTCGAGCTGACGTTGAGAGTGCTGGGTTCAAGCTCAAGCTCCCCCTACGGCTGGGTCCGGGAGATGTCACTGATTTCGATCTGGACTGCAGCACTGACTTTGAGAAATTCTATTGCGATCCACAAATTGGTGATATTTCAGCTTTCTTTGCAGCATTAGCAGAAGAGATTGCTGACGGGTCTCTTCTTATCTTGAAGAAACTTGCTGAAGACTTTGTCAAGGGTGCTGAAGAGGCAGGAAAGACTATTGCCATGGCTGTGGACAGGGCAGCTGCCAAAGCAGGTGAGGTCTTTGGTAAAGAGAACATGGAGCAAACATTAAAAGATGTCATGGAGGGCAAGCTCGATGTTGGGAAAGAGCTGGAGGAAATTGCCTCCATTGGGTATGCTGCAATGTCTGCACTTTGCAAGAGCGAAGATTGTCAGCCTGATGGAGAAGCCTGTATTGGTGACCCCACTGGCCTAAAAAAGAAACAAGGAACTTGCTGTTCGTGCTGCAATGATGAATCCAATTGGTGGAAAACAAATCTCAATCTTCCTGGTCAAGCCTGTGGACTCGAGCCCAAATGGGAGGTAAGAATTCTGTTGCATGAATTGATTCACTGGTCATGCCATAATTATTCTGCTAACATCATGGTTGATGAATCATAGGATGGTAGCCCTTGTGTGATTGGAGTCACATGCCACATGTGCAAGAATGGGGACAATTGGTGGGATAGTGTTCCTGATCTCCTGGGTTTGCCAGGTCAAGCCTGTGGTCCCAAGCCGTGTATTCCGGATGGAGATATGTGTGTCCAATTGCTTTCTTGCCCCAATTGCTGCAGTCGAACAAACATGTTTGCAAAGTGTGGCAAACAAGGATGCTTAGGTGGGTTCACGAGTACCATTCATGCTTCATTGATGTATGGTTCCTGACTGACACTTATTGTTGCATTTGGTGCATGTAGCTGATGGTACTATTTGCTTGCCTGGAACAACTTGTCTTGACTGTTGCAACCGTGATACCTGGTGGTTTTCCAAGGGAATTGGTGCTCAGGTTTGTGGAGCAGAACCCAAATGGAGTAGTACGTGTAGTCTGGATGTCAAAAATGTATATTTGACTTTGCCCTCTCTCAAACCAGAATTTGCTTGCCCGTACAAACAGATGGCACACCCTGTCTAAAAGGAATCAGTTGTCACATGTGCCAAAGTGGTACTAGCAGCATGTGGCTGAGCCCACCTGGGTCACTCATACCCCTTGAAGCATGTGGAAAAGAACCATGCTGGGGGGATGGCAAGATTTGTGTTAATGGTCTCACTTGCAATCAGTGCTGCAATGATCACATGGAGTTTAAATGTGGAAAGAGTGGATGCTGGAAGGGTAAGTGTTGTGCAGCTTGCTGGCTGTGCATGCAGTTGGCCAACAATGTTGAACTCATGCTGGATTTCATGCTCTCCAAATATTAGATGGAACACCCTGCCTTTTTGGAAGCTGCAAGAACTGCTGTAATAGTAAAAACAGTTGGTGGCATAGCAAAGTTGGAAATGCCTGTGGCATGGAGCCATGCTGGGGCCGTAAGAATTTGCTGTTCTTTTTGGGGGTTGGGACGTCATTGATTCATTGAACTAACCTACTGCTGCATTTTGCTTGCAACAGGTGGTAGGACATGTGGTCTCACGTGTGTGAGGTGCTGCCATGGTTGGAGCGTCCAGTGGGAACGACGTGGTAGTGGCTGGTTCAAATACAGCGTACCCGTAAACAAATGCAACTAGCCTGAGACAGATTTGGTGAGCGAAGGAGCAGCTAAAGAACAAAGAACAAAAAACCACAAAACAAAACAAATAAACTGAAAATGCATGGATCAAAAAAGAAGTGCTTGAGGAGCGAAGGACCAGCTTTGATGGTAGTCTCCATTCCTTTCATTTCATTTCGGTTGGAGACACTTCCCAAAGCAACCTCAAGCATCAATATATATGCATATACTGTGCTTCCATGTTCTGTTGTGAGATAACTTAGCTTCAATTTGTGTCAGTGATCTCATCCAGTATTTAATAGGACTTTTGGCCGTTGTAATAGTTTGGCTTTCAAAAGCTGAGAAAGACCATGTCATTGATTGTTTGCAGTGGCAGAAGTGTATTGGTGTCTCCTATCTTCAAAAATGTCATGGAGTAGTGCGATTGCTGAATGCTTTCAAGCCATTCTTTCGTCTTATCTGCATGTGCGGATTAAGGAAGAGAGTAGTGGTTGGTTGCGGGGCTATTTGCCCAGTGGGCAACGAGATTTATCGCGCTCAAGCAGCCGAATCGACGAATTGTCACCCCATTCTTCGACATTGCAGAAAGATAACAGGCGGTTCGTACTTTCGCCATTACTCACCTGCAACCTCTCACTAATACTATTAGACGTACGCTATCTATTGTCAATAGTCCGACAGCGGTAGCATGAAATGATTGCGATACGCCTTAGCAGCAGCTGTTGTGTTGGTCGAGTGTTTCACTTGATCTCTCGCGATATTTTGCGCTGGGAGCGGTGCGTACAAACGCAGCTTGGTGCTGGCTTAAATTTTCTGGGCGACCACCTTAATTAATAAAATTAAGGGAAGAAGAGACCTCCTTGAAGAGCAAATGATTTCTTTGAACTACACTACAGCTACAGTTGGATTCATTGGATTTCATTGGCAGTTTGAGGTGATTTCAAGGCCCCTCTTGAAGTCTTATCTCAACAACCTTCTATTTTGATACTTCCAACCTTCACCACAGTGACAAGCACCTTCAGCTTGACCATACACCAATCGACAACTCCAACAGACATCCCATTGTCATTGCTCGAGGACCTACAAAAGCTACCATCTCCACAACAATGCCTTGACTCGACTCGAGGTACCTGGTAGCTTCAAGAGGCCGTGATAAGGTCACCTGAACGTTTTGGTAATTATTCGTCGTGCACTGAGTAAGTTTTTACTGGTCACAAGAATTCCTGATCGATCCGAGATCGCCGAAGACTTATACGACAACGTTGCCCGTGCCGAAAGCAGGCTCAGTCTCCGCAAGCTGTATTCACCTCACATTTTAAAGGATTTACGTGGTTGAGTCATTGAATCGAGTCCTTGGAAATCGCGAGCTACCAAGCTATCCATCGCGCGAAGAGACCAACTCGAAGAACCACGAGACAAGCAAGAGGTCAATTCGCTTGGCTGAAAGTAGCACCAGTGAAACCGGCACCCTTCAATTGGTCATTGGGTATCTCACCTTGAATTTTAGGAGCTTTTGTTGGGAGATTCATTGGTCCCAGTAAGCCGGCTTCACAGTGGCAAAATCACCAAAACCAAGGCAGGTACCAGCACCACAGCAGTTCAGGAAGCAGGTTCCAGACCCTCTACACTGGCTACCTTATTCAACTACCACCAACTTGAATTTTCCAGGCCCCTTGACTACCGCTGTCCCTGAGGAAGGGCTCTAGCGAGGCCCAGTCCACTACTGGAACGAGAATCTATTGGGCAGTCTCGTTGTTGTTATACCCGGTACGGTAGCGAGCGAGTGACTTGGTCGAAAATAACGAAGTTTTATTTTAAGGCTACACCTCGTCAGACAATCCCGCTGAATGGTGCCGTGACGAACCCACATACCTCAGATGCACAAAGGCGCCCACTTAGGAATGGGCCTAGTGGGTGCCCCCCACCGGAGAAATTGAGCAAAACTCCGGAGGTTGCTGTACGACTAACTATCTAGGCTAGGCTGAGTCGCTCGCTATTGCTATGGGAATCCCACATCGGTGCATAGTTACCCTGCTTGGGAAAGCTGCTCAAGTGCATGCTCCCGCTGATTAGAGGGGTTGAGGGCTCTAGCAGCAAGACTGCCGAGGTAATGATAGACATGACCGTTGACAATGCAAGTGACATGTTTGTACATTAAATGCCAGCAAATCCATCTGAGAGTGGTTCATAAAAGAGGGTCGTCTCGGGAGGCAGAATAGCAAAGACTATTGTTCGCTCCAAAAGAAAATTCAATAAATTTAGATACAAATACAAAAAAGGCCATTGTATTGCTAACGTTAATAGATCCTAAACATGCAACCACTGCAGGGTGGGGTGACCAAAAGCATAACAACGGTTTCTTCTCAGACCAACCAATACTTTGCACGGCATTATGCATACTAGTTGCATGTCAATTTGAAATCAAAATTCTTAAAGGATGGACCAAAACCGTTGCAGCACCTTAGGCAAAACAAGCCACATTCCTTGCCACCTGTTGGAAGCAAAATGCAGCAGTATGTTAGTGCATATCAATCTATGAAGTCCCAACCTCAAGAAGAATAGCAATTCTTACGACCCCAGCACGACTCCTTGCCACAGGCATTGCCAATTTTGCTATGCCACCAACTGTTTGAACTACTGCAGCAGTTCTTGCAGCCTCCAAATAGACATAGCTTTCCATCTACAAATTGGAGAGGATTGAGTCAAGAATGAGCTATTCTTTGTGGCCGCTTAGATACAAACAGAAACAATATGCTTACCCTCCCAGCATCCTTGCTTTCCACATTGCAACTCCATGTGATCATTGCAGCATTGGTGGCAACTGATTCCATTGAGACAGAAATGACCATCGCCCCAGCATGGCTCTTTTCCACATGCTTCTGTAGGTAGGAGTTGGCCTGGTGCATTTATCCAAAAGCTGCTAGTTCCACTTTCGCACAGGTCACAAGTAAGTCCTTTAATACAGGGTTTGCCATCTGTTTGAAAGGACGAGCATGTTTTGTTTGAGAAAGGAAACTCCAAGTATGCATCATGGTCATTCAAGCTACAACGCACCACTCCATTTGGGTTCTCTTCCACAAGCCTGAGCACCGATGCCTACAGACCACCACCAACTGTCTCCATTGCAGCAGTCAAAGCAGGTGGATCCAATCAAGCACATAGTACCATCAGCTATAGGTAGCAGCCAAGCAAAAGGAGAGAGGTCAGTCAGTATCCAAAAGTCAAACAGGAAAGCTAGGATCTGAGTGATGCTGGCAAACTGACCTAAGCATCCTTGCTTGCCACACTTTAGCGCCATACTTTTCCCACTGCAGCAGTTTTGACAGCTAACACCTTGCACACAAAAATTTCCGTCTGAAAGACATGGCTCTTGGCCACAAGCCTGAGCCGGCAGACCAATGAGGTCAGGGTGGGATAGCCAGAGTGAATCACCATTTTCACATAGTTTGCAGGTCAGCAAAAGGTCGCAAATCTTTCCGTCCTGGTCCGAAAATGTAACAAGCAGCCTGAGTTTGTTTTCCAGTCTGGGTTAAAGCAGGTGTTTCCTGCTGACATACCTTCCACCGTGGTTCAGTTCCACATGCCCTACCCGGTAAGGACAGGGGTTTGGTAGGTCCAGCCCAAAAGGTGTCATCATTGCAACAGTCACAACAAGTACCTTGTTTAGGCTTGAGTCCAAGCGGATCTCCAAAGCAGGCTGAAAAGAGCTGAATGTTAGAAACATGTATTAAAAGTACAGAAACCCATTGACTGACTTACCTTCTCCATCAGGCTTGCAACCTTCCTCATCCTTACACAGAACATTGAACGCTGCGTATCCAATGGATGCAAGCTCCTGAAACTTTATATCAACATCTAGCTTGCCGCCCACAATGTCTTTTATGGTGTCCTCGATATTCTCTTTTGAGAAAACATCTTTTAGTTGTTCGCCTGGAAATTGAAAATGGTCAGACATCCTAAAAGACAACCAGGTAACATTCAGTCTGAACGATCCTCATAAACCCACTTACCTGCCTTCTCAAAGGCGGTACCAATGATTTCAGCAGCTTCATCAAGTTTCAAAAACTCAGTAGTTTTTTGGAAGACCCACAGTAAACCACCTGCAATTTCTTCTGCAACTGCTGCGATGAAGGCGTTCATGTTGTCCATTGTAATTTCACATCCAAAAGTCTTATAGTCTGAACCACATTTCAAGATGAAATCTGAGACAGGGTCATCCAATGACTTTCCCAGCAAAAGGGGCACTTGAACAACAAATCCGACGTATTCCACATTCATTGTCACGGCCTGTATGGGACCAGCCATACCATAGCAGCATGGAGACATCGATGTTAGCAAAAATGAATGACTTAACACAGTCAACTCAAGCATGGGCACTCACAATTCCATAGTATTTGTTATTGCTGTTTGGTGGAACTTTGCCAAGGTCCAGTTTCTCTAGTACCATTTCAACCACGCTGGTAGCCAAGTTTTCGTCAATTAAGTTTGCTATAGGAAAGGTGTCATCGATAACTTGGTCCTTTCAGGGGTACATTTTCCTTTGTGAGGAGACATACAGATCAACAAAAACCCACATAAGCAATAAGGTGAATACTTACAATGATTCCTCCCATGCTAAGCATTAGTTTTTTCACCGCATCAAAGAGTGCACCCTCATTTCCAGTCTGACCAATAAAAGCTGACATCCCAGGGTAAACCTGTTGCTGACTGCCATCTTGAAGAGTAACTGCTGCTGACCCAGTTGAGGTAAACACAGAAGCGCGACCAAACTCAAACTCAAATTTAGGGAACAGAGCTCCAATTATCTGACAAAGACAAGAAAGTGGTTAATGAGATTAACTCAGAGGCTGCAATGAAGCAGAGCAGTGGGTGTTAGAAGTGCACGCTGTCTTACGGGTATGTTGCGGAAGTTCAGGGACAACCGGCACTTTCCCTGAAATACATTCTGGACTTGAAAATTGTCGAACTGTTTTTCGACATGGTTTTTCAGTGCTCGGTCAAAATCTGCAAGGCCCTTATCAAACAACTGCTTACTATCATAACAAACACAAGAAAGGATGAATTAGTAAAGGCAATCTAACAAACCTTGTCCCTCAACAATGAGTAAGAGATGAAAACTACAACAGAACTTTGTGTGCAACGGACCTGATAGGTTCTCCATTGGGCATTAGTATATTAGTGCCTATAGGGCAGTTGTTGCAAAATTCAAGAAAACCATCAGAACCTCCACGGGACAGAGCAATGCAAAACCTGACTGAACTTACCATGAATGACATCCCCATTAAGTTCAAACCAATCTTTCAGTTGTGGGTGAATGGTCCCAGATTGGATTGAGAGTGATAGCTTCTCGAATGTTGTTGGTCTTGCCACATAATGGAAAAGTTTTTCTCCATTGAATAGAGCCATTGGGATTTCAAATGAATTGCTGAGCGAGAATCCAAATCCTGCATGCTTAAACCCAACTGCAATTGCAATTTTGACATATTCAACTACAACAGCAGCTGCACCAGCAACACCACCAACAACAGCACCGACACCAGTGGCCGCCGCAGCTCCACCACCACTTGTGATAGCTTGGAGTCCCTTTCCAACATAATTGAGAAGGCATGTCATAAGCCCACCATCCATGAAGAACGCCACTGATGGAAGAATGTCACAAAAGGAGACTCCCATACAAAAGGAAAACTCTAAGGTGGTGGGTATTTGGCATACTGCTGTTGAGACTTCTGGTGACAAGACGAGTTCACCACCAAAAATGGCCCACTCGTCCTTGTTCGCACTGGACAAGGGCATGCCTTCACAGGTTCCGACCATGTCCCCCTTGGGATTAGTGACATTCTTGACAGAAAAGTCCCCAGCACAGATAGTGCCTGTTGCTGGAATAAGACTGGACAATTCTTTCATCAATTCTTCCAATGGTGCGAAAACCAAATTGAGCAGTTCCTGGACCATTGGTTCATCCCCAAGTGGACCAGCAAGTGCCTCAATCATTCTTTTTAGAACTTGAACGGGTCCTGCAAGAGAATTGTAACACCCAGATAGTGGGTCAAGAAAGCCATCTGGAACAACTCCTTTTTGTTGGTTGGGTGCATCACATGTCTTGAAAGGAACTGCATCACCTAAGATTAGTAGTGCCGCGTCGTCCAGCATAGATAGGGCACCATCTCCTATGTCCTCTGCCAAGTCCAATTGACGTTTCTGCTGTTGCTGCATCAGAAAGCTCCTCTCACTTTTCTTATTTGCAGTTTCAGTGTTGTTTGACCATGAGGCCCGGAGTGCTTGATCAAAAGCATCAGAGTCTCTGGCGCCATTCTCGGTTCCAGCAGTACTGGACTCTGAGGTGATTGCTGTGTCTCCTGTCCTCTCTGGCTTTAACAACAGACCTTCTTGTTTCAAGTGCTGGGAGGAGATGGCAGGACCATGATTGTTGTTATTGTCATTCTTCTTGGTGTTCCGGTCCTTTTGGGTTTGACCGCCTCTTGCCCTTAGGTGAGGCTATTGGCAGGCACGTTAATAAGAGAGGAAGAGAATAAAAGGGACAAGGAGCAAAACGCTGTGAGGTATCCATGCATTTTAAAATTCGTATGGGACGAAAGACTGATTTGAAGGATTCAATCAGAATTTGTCTTTGTGGATTTGACATAGGTATAGACTACTGTACCAAACAACACCATGCATCGGACTTACCGTAGTATCAGCTGTCGCGCCAAGCGCGAGCAAGAAGTACAATCCTTTAGCAAGCTTCATGCTGGAGTAATTAATTATGACACAGTTGGCTGGCAGTGGAACAGAGAGAGCGTCGTCTGAAGTTGTCGCCGCCGCCCTCCAGCAAGATACTCCGCGTACCGAAATTACCGTAGAGCATCCAGCAACAATTAAGAACCCTCTATTTATATAGGTGACGATTAAAGATTTCACGAATGAGAGATTTATGATCGTATGGAAAAGCCCTGCTTCGTCTTTTCTCTTTTAGATGATGCGATCATCTGGCATCTTCTACCAGGTACCTCCATAGGAACACCGCTTAAGCTACTGCTATCTACCACTGAAAAGCTCCAATCTTGCATAATAGCTGGCTCGCTACCACCACCTGCTTTTGGCAAGCCAAAGGATCCACCCTCGAGGGTGGGAGTCACATGGTTGGGTATGCATCCGAGTGACGAACGACGCATCTGATCGGACCCCACACCCGTAGGCATCCAGCATCGGCCCTCCTTTTTTAAAAGATTAAGGCAACAATGTATTTATTTATGTACAGCGAGGAGGTGCGTGACTTTCCATTCAAAGTGGCTGATGGGAAGATGAGGATCTGCCGTACATGCACCTTAGAAGATGACTGTTCAACCCATGTAACCCTTGCTCGTATACCGGGTGCCGTGCTACAACTCGTAGTAGCTATTCCCAGTCCCCACCTTTCGCGTCTCGTCCAGCAGTGGTGCGCCATTACGTCCCTACAATATCCAACTAAAAAACCGTACGGTATCCTACACTCCATACTGTACTGATAGGGGAGCTACATGTAGTGTTCGATGAGCTGTGACGAATGCTGAGCCCAAGACTACCAGGAAGACATGGTGGAGTGTCATTGCTGATTGCCGATGCATTGCAAGCCGTTCTTCTTAGGTCGTATCTGCCTATTACGTTTCGTCGCAATAGCTAGACTACGCTTTCATTGGTACCGTATTGTTGGGCTAGGACGTGCCTGAAAAGCGATATACTACTGTGATCTACTGCAAATCAACCTAAACCAAAACTTGTTTAAGTTTGTTATCTAGACCAGCAACAAGCCAACATTGCCATCCACAAACTAGAATCAGGCTAGAATCAGGCTTGCCAGCCAACACGATGAGAGTGACCAGCAGCCAGCACACTCCGTTGACGCTCCATTCAGGCTAGCTAGCGCCATGGTCGACCTTTCCACAATAATTTCCACAAGAACCGGAACTGGTGGTTCCAAACTGTTAGATCGCAAGGCACATCATCACCAGCACAACAACAACAGATCTCACCATTCAGGCAGTAAGATCATTGGATGAGAAATGCAACCACCGGCGCATTGCGCCATTGTTGGCATGCTGCCTCAAAGCCAATCCGACTCAGTAACAGGATCAACGTAGCCAACAACATCATAATGAGAATATCCCATTTGATGGCCAAGCTGAATCAAAACAGCAGCAGCACGGAAGAAAATGTGGTGAGAGCTGGTTGGATGCCGGAAGCAGTGAGTGAGGGCTCCAAACGTCTTGAACCTCCTGTTGACAGTCTCATGTCTGGCTCTCAATGCTGCCATGGATCTCTTGTGCTGACAGTTTCGTGCATCCTGTGGGGTGACGCACTTGCTGTCGCCAATGTAGCCTAAGTCACCGATAACCTTTTCCCAAGGGCGCAGCACGTCACGGAGCCAATATCTGAAGATGGAGATATCATTGGTTGCCGCTGGAAAGGGCCCATGGATCCACACAATGTCACCAGTTTTAATGCACACTGCAATCTCATAACTCACTCCAGCATGACAGAACTTGTGTGAGTACCAAGCTTTGTTGTATGAGTGGGTTCCAGGAAGCATCTTGTTCCGAATCTTGAAGTGTGTTCCGTCAACGGTAACAAGACATCTGTCACCCGTGTCACCAAAGAAACGATTGGCCCAAACAATCTGGATGAGTCGAGTCAGAGCAGACGATGACGTTAGCCGAAAGCAAGATGGGGAACTAGCGACTGGCTGCGGACAAACTGGCTGCCTGCCGCGGACACCAGGAACTTACGACATCCGTGTCAAGCCTGGCAACGGCTTAAGATAGATTTCGGCCACTTCTTGACAGTTTGTTCGTGTGTTCGACAGCCGAAGCAAGGACTTCCAGGTATCATACCTTTTCAATAGCATCAGCGCCCAAAGGTAGTGCTCCGGGTCCGGACTTTTCGTGCACTTGTTCAAATGATACTGAAGGAAGTGCTTTCCTGTAGCAGTTCCCATCCATCAGCAACAACGCAGGCGGAGCACCAAAATGGGCCTTGAAGCGACGCATGTCACCTTTGCTGATCGACTTGACTTGTACCTGGCAACGCGACGGCCCAATTCTTCAAACTGATCTGCGGACAACTCCATTGTGGACATCAGTGCGCAATCAACGATGGAGGATTGAGTGAGAGTGGAGCCTCCGATATTGTGCCACCAGTCAGATGAAAGATCAACATGGTGCAAGAAAACTCCAAGCGGCATGACAGTCACCGGCTGAGAAAGAAGACAGTGGGAACGAAGGATAGGTGAGCGACAGCCATACACGTCACCCATCGAATGTGGATCTCGCTCTGGCTTACCGGTACCGGGAAATGCGGCGTATCACCATGGCCAAGTGAAACTAGTGTCCTCATTCTTGTCACAGGAGGTTGATTGTTGGATCGAAACTGAACTCATGGCTGGCTAGCTAGCTAAGAACTGAAAGTGAGATAGTGCTAGTTGATTGATTCGATTCGGTTCTTGTATTGCTGACTAGCTAGCATGCACGAAACAATCAGCCATTCGCTAACTCAACGCCACTCGGAACTGCACTTGAGAAGGGCCAACGCCACTCGGAACAGATCTATCACTGGGCCAGCCTGCACTCGGAACTCATCCATCAGCAAACTAGTTTCCTACTGCCTAGATTCTTGCGCCGTCAACTTGTTGCAGTGTGGTAAACAGCACGGTCATTGGCGGCAGAAGATTGGCTGCAACCGGGGAAAAAGTTGACACCGGTTGACCGGCACGCTTTGATTGGCTCGCATCCGAATCCGGTAATTATTCTGATCCGAATGGATCGTGCGCAATCAGGTCAACGGCAATCCAATCGCATGGCAGTCAGGTATATTATATTCCGGTCAGGTTAATAGCAATCCGATACGGTTAAGATCCAGTCAGATACCGTTGAATTTCCCTACAAAATCGCGCAAGCAGCACCGGAATCGGACCGCGGTCTGACCGGGATCGGATCTCAACGGATCGCATTCCAGTTGATCGCACCGCGATGACACCACAATCAACCACAATCAAACCACACACCGCGATCAATGGCATTCAAGATGGCGATCACTCGAAAACCTGACCATGACGCCTTCCCCGGTAAACCGGACCGCGATACCGCGATCACCACCGCAGTCTCCTCTCATAGTTCAGTCAACCGCAATCTTTGAGCACTCTTTGACCGCAAGCAACTCGACGACCGACAGTCCACAATGGCAACCAACACCGAACTCACCGACGATATGTTGGCACGTCTTGCCAAGATTCCAGCCGAGTACAAGGAGAAGGGCGCACCTGATGACAACACCCGCCTATGCAATTCGTGGCGGGGAGCCCTGGATTGGACAAGGCTGAACTCAACAAGATGATCTTCGAAGCCATGGACTCCAGGAAGAAGATTACTGCTGCCGTGTCAAGAATGAACATCCAAGTTTCGGATCTACACCACTGCGTGCCTTCAGTGCGCCTTTAGCAACCTCCGACGAAAGTGGAAGGCCACCAAGAGAAGAAAGAAACGAGTAAGTTCCATTCTTCACATTCACATTGTCCTTTCTCCGGTCCATCATCTCACTCTTCTGTTCTGCAGTGACCCAGGAGGGCGGTGGCGGGCAAGGCCTGAAGGCTCAGCGGCCCTGTGGCTCTGTCAAAGATGGCAGTGGTGGTAGCAAGGCAGGCAGCAAGGCAGGCAGCAAGAAGAGCACGTCATCCAAGAAGAAACCACCACGCTCTTCCTACTTTCGTGACACTTCCACCATGTACCGGTGGGATGGCACTGTCCGCACTAGCAGAAGCACCAAAACAACTACTGGCATGTCATGTCCGGCAAGACATTGCCCAAGATGGTGAAGTGCAGAAGAACATTCCTGGAGTAGCTCGTCCTTGCAATGCCTTCACTGTGGACAAGGAAATCGGTGACTGTGGCGGTCAGTCAACTGGATGCCTGGACTGACAGCTCACTCAACCATCGGGCAAGCGCTCATGTTCAAGTGATGAATGGTCTTGTCATGGAAGACGACACTTTGCAGTGTCGTGTGAGCAGCACCAAACCTGACCAGCTCGTTATCTCAATGGCTTTGAGTCCGACTTTCCCCAATCCGGATATGAAGCTTTGCTACCTGGTGGAAAAGATTCGAGCTGTGTATGGTGAAGATCTTGACGATGAGACCTGTTTCGGAATTTTGAAATCGCATCCTCGGTACATCTCGTGCTTGCAAAACCTTGCCCGTTTGCGTGGTCATCTCCCTGAAGATGAGCCGCTCCTTGTCGAGTTTCGTATGCAGGCTCCCTTCAACATCCATGCTGACCTCGTTACCCAGAAAGAAGATGCCGTCTTCTTTGGGTTCGAGATCTCGCATGAGAATGGCGAGACCAATATCTGGTTTGAGCTGAAGGAGAACGGCAAAGAGTTCAAAACAGTCACTATCGAGAAACTGTACTCTAGTTCTTTCAAACAAACTGCTGGCAGAGCCAAGAAGGGTATGTTTCAGAGCCAGATGTCGTCGATTCCTGAGAGCGTGAGTTTTGTCTCGCCCACAAAGGCGTCTCGTTCTCGCCGCCAGCAGAGTGTGGCCTCCAAAGATGACAACTCCACCATCAAGACGGAAGACCAGGGAGCCAATCGAATGGATGTTGACGACGACGATGACGAATCGTCATGGGACTCGAACCTTAGGGACTCTGAGAGCGAGGAAGGTGAAACGCCGGAGATGGAAGCACTGCGCAAGCAGGTGGCGGAGTTGACATCGATCGTCTCTGGCCTTGCTCAAACCAAGTCGTTTGACAGCAGTGAAGGTAGCAAGTCAAACCTTGCCGGCAATTTGAAGAAGAAGAAGACGAATCAAGGCAATGCTTCAAGCAGCTCTATTGCCGGTGACAGCAAGGCTTCTCGTCGCAGCACTGGAACTCGTGGTACCAAAGCTCGAGAAGAGAAACGCAAGGTTGGAGGTAGTGGTGGAGCTGGAGCTGGTGGAGATGAGTATGCAAAGAAGACCCTCTGAAATTAGGCCAATCTGTTGTGGTGGCCATCCCCTCTGTGTTTCTGGTTGTTCAAGTGGCAAATGGATGGGTCTGTCAATGCTGTTGAAGAGGTTGCAAGTGATGAGGAGACTGTAGTCTTAGATAACAAACAAAACTAGTAGGAGTGAACTTTATTGGCAAAATATTGCTTTTCATGTACGTCCCTATGATCCAACAGCTCATACCATGCCGGTACCGGTACCGGTACACGGATTCGAAGAGCTGGTCATGATTGGATGGATTATTGCAAAAGATCAATCGATTTGATGTGATTCGCTTCGATTCATCATTCGATTTGTACGATTTGGTCAGGGCAAGCCGCCACAACAGCGAACAGTAAACGCGACCACCAGACGATTTGGTTTGGAGTGGCCAGATTTTATTGTTTGTTGGTATTGGGCAGTATGCTCTTGTAGGAGCTGTCAACAAAAAGATGAATCGAGTCTACAAAGACTACTGTACAGTTGAGCTTGAGAAAAATCCAAGACCGGTGAAAAAGTTCCCTGATTACCATGGAAAGAATTGCGAAAGACGTACCTACATGTGAGAGTTTGTTTGCTACATTGTGACTACAGTACTCATTAAACTACCTAACTTCTCAACTGTTTCAACACCAACATTTCAGTTCCTCATCAGTTGACTTTGCTATTTCCTTGCAGGATTGGAAGCAGGCTGATGAGGGTTTTTGCTACATTGTGTGCTTAGAATACTCATTACACTACTGACAACTCAACTGTTGTCATTGCTTATTTCAATTGCTTTCAGTTGAGGCAGCAGGGCTCCTGTCAGGGTCTGAAGCATGCTGACCTTCCAGATTGTTGAGGATCTCATGATCTCTCACAATGTCACACGCCCTCAGATGCTTCGTAGGCTGCTGTACTTGTGCTGCCGTCATGGCTTCTGCCTCCCATTGTAAAATACTTTCACGTTGGGATTCAAATAGGTCTGTAGGTTGTGGTTTTGTTGCTATATCTGCCAACTGATACCGACTTGGAATCTTGTGAATTGATATCTTCTTAGATCGAACATGATCTCTGAAGTGATGCATCTTGACACAGATGTGTTTCGTGCGTGGTCGCATCTTTGGCTCCTTGGCCATTTCAAGAGCTCCACTGTTGTCTTCGAAAACCTTGCAATGAACAACTGGAGGTTTGTTGTGCACTGTCCAGCTCAACCTTGCCTTCGTCTCATCGATCAATTGCATCAAGTTGATTGTGTCCCTTAAGGATTCCGACAGCGCGTTGTATTCTGCTTCCGTCGTAGATAAGGCCACTTCGCGTTGCAGCTTGGATCCCCACGTGACTGGACACCCTGCATACAGGATGATAAATCCGGTTCTACTAGATCTAGCCGTTCCTGGATCAACATCTGCTGTTGCGCGATTCCAGTTGCCCACAAAATCTGCATCCACGAACACGTCGAATGAACACTGTTGCGGATTGAGGATGATGCCTTTGTCGGCGTTGCCAGCCAGGTACCTTCCGATCCTCTTGACTGCTGTTGCATGGGACTCCTTTGGATCAACAGAGAACCTAGCGCACTGGTGGACTGCGTATGCCAGATCGGGTCAGGTTGACTTTTCCAGAAAGTTCAACTTTCCTATGACGCTCCTGTAGTTCCAATCGTCCTTCATGGGATCACCTGCCACGTCTCGATGGAGCTTCACTGTAGATGGCGCTGGAGTCTTCTGCGACTTGGTCTTGTCGTTGTAGCCCAGGTCGTCCAATATCTGCTTGATCATGTGGGGTTGTGTCAGTTTGATGGTTCCGTTCGACAGCTTTTCGATCTTGACTCCCAGATAGTCCGACAGGCTGCCTTCGTTCGTCATGTTGAATGCACGGAACTCATTCCCTTTGTCATCCACAAATGGTTTCGACAGGAGCTGAAATGCATCATCAATTTCCTTGTCGGTAGGCGCAAGGAATATTCCGTCGTCCATGTAGATCATCAGCACCACTGAACCCTTGTAATAGACACACATGTCTATGTTGCTCTGCTCGAAACCTCGAGCAATCAATCCATCGTGCATATACCTGTTCCACACGCGTCCTGCCTGCTTCTGTCCATACAGGTTCTTCTCCAGAAGCAAACATTGATCGCCGTGATAACGTCTCTTGTCGCTCGTTTGTTTGAGCACCGACTTGCTACCTTCTCGTACCACGCTGAATCCCTGTGGCACTTCCATGTACATCTCACACTCGATGTCGGCCTGTGGGAACGCCAGGACGAAGTCGACCTGTCTGGATTTCCAGCAGTTGACAAGCATCAGTATCAGGAATGTGCGAATTGTCGTCCATCCCACAACAGGGGAGTACGTGTCCCAGTACGAACTTCGTTTGTTTTCCTCCGTGAACGTTCAGCCTCGCCTTCCACTTGTACACTTCCTGCGTGGCAATCCTTCGCTTGCGTCTGAAGGCCCAGACTGAAGGGAGCAACTTCATTCCCTTTGGCATTCCAGATTTTGGAACGATCTTCCAGTGCTTCCAGTCGCTGTGTGAATTGACCTCCTTGGTCATTGCTTCTCTGAAGTGCTTCCCGTCCGTTGCGTTCATCGCCCCGTCAATATACATGATGTCGGGGTTGGACGAAGCAGCAAACGAAATGGGGTCTTCCATATCGTCTTGGATCTGATACCCCTCAACGTGGAAGACCTCCCAAGGGATTTCGGCTGCTGCCAACGATACTTCGTAGTCGTCTCTGATTCTCTCTGGGAGGCGGATGCGCCGCCCTCGTCTCGAGCGTCTCTCATTGTTGTTCACGACGTTGTCCGGCACTTCTGCCGCCGATTGCGACCATCCAGAACTCGTCGGCGTCTCTTCGTCATGGTCGGAACCAATGCCGAAGTCTTCTCTTAATATGTCCTCGGCTCTCAGAATCCTCGATTCGTGGATCGCAGTCTCGGACCGTTCGTGACCGGACTCACTCTCTTGTCGATCTGTCGGAACCACTTCTTTGTTGTCTCCACGATGGGATTCCGCTGCTAGCTCCTGTTCCTCTAGCTGCGTGAAACCAGACTTCTCTTGCCATTTGGATGGTGGGACGATGCTTCCTGTTGATCGCCGCAATGTATCGCACAGGTCGTCGTACTGGTAATGGAACTGGGGAGACACGAGTCCGGTCTTCAGACTGAGAACCAATGCCACCTTCTTCGAATGACGAGGAGACAGCCCCAGATAGATTCCGATCCTCGACTTGTGTTCCCACTTGGGCATCGTCTTGCCTTGTTGCGCCCTACTATCCAGCACGGTATACTGGGGACCCAAATGTATGGGCATTCTTGACCTTGGGCTCCACGTCGACTCCAGAGAACAACTCCAATGGAGAGACGTGATCCTGACCTTTCAGCACAGGAGTTGCATTTGCGATATCATTCGCATATCTCACTGCGTATGGCCACAAGTGAGCTGTGTTGGCGTTTGGCCACCTCTGCTTGGCATGCAGGATCATCGTCCTTGCTGCCTCCTGGAGATCCCTGATTTCTTTTCGGCTCTGCCGTTCATGTGATGCGCATTAACTGCTGCGTTTGAGATGGTTTGGCCACACCTGTGAACCTCCTCGACGAATGCCTTGCTGTCGAATATCCCGTTGTCTCCATGATAGTGTCTGATCGACACTCCGAATGTCTTGGCGTATCTCTCGAACGCCCTCTTGGCCAGTATCGTCTGCTCTGCCGAAGTTGAGGTCTGGAGATGGACGAACGATAGACCACTGTAGTGGTCAACGAAGATGGTGCTGACCATGTATCGCTTGCGAGTCAGGATCCCTCTCATCTGCCCGATGAAGCCTGGAGTCGATGAGATCAACTGATCGACACCCACGACGAATCCTGGAGCCGTTGCTTGTGGAATCATGTCGTTGTTTTGATTGACTGGGGTCCTAGTCCTCCAAGGTCTCTTTGTCGCTCTACCGAACATGCAGCTGGCGCACTTGGGTGCCCTCGCCTTGGTGAGAGATGCTGGCAATGCACCAGCTTCCTGATCCTGTCGAATGACAAGTGTCCGAGACGGTAGTGCCATGACAGCAGGTCCGTCTCATTGCTCATGGACTCCGTGTAGTCATGATCTACAACCGGAATTTGGGCAAACTTGTTCAGGTCTTTGCCCATTTTGAACGCGTCTGTCACCTTCTGCTGGAATTCCTTGGATCGACTGTCCTCGGTGCCAACGTGACTGGGCAAGTCCGGATGCGCCCTAATTTCCCAGTCCGCTTCATACGAGCTCATGGACGAGATGGATGACTCATCGTCCGTAATGGACGCAGCGGAACAACAGAGCAGCTCAAGCTCGTCCACCTCAGATCCCTGACGATCGGCGTGAATTGTTGATGCAATCTCGGAACAGAAGGAGTGCAGCTTCGAATAAGATGGGGCACTCCTCACGATTGCGATGTTATTGGAGGAGGAGAGTGGGATGACTCTTCGGAAGTTCCTTTGGCCCCAGAAGAGCTCGACAGAGTCCTCATACGTTGCACACCAAGTTCCTCTCTGCTGCGGCAGGTTGTCCTCCGCCACCTTCGCCCAATGCTGTGGCGAGAGTAGCCTGTATGGTGTCGACGGATTGTAGTAAGTATCAGGAATCACGAAATGATGGACCCTTCCGTCGTCGTCCTCGATTGACCACCTGACCGTTCCCTTGTAGGTTGCCGTAACCGTCCCTCCAATCCCTTGGACTGTAACGTTGACCTTTGTCGGCTTGCCAATGAAGTCCTTCATGCAATTGGTGATGCATCTGTAGGAGCAGTTGTCGATTGCAATCAGCACTGAGTCTGCGTCATACTGATGATCGTCAGCATTGTTGTTGCTTTGCCCTGACAAAGAGAAGGCAATGAACTGAAAGGCTGCGAGTGGATTCGTCTCACACGCTATCATGCCGAGTCCCCCTTTCAAAATCAGCAGGAACCTGATGAACAACTGAAACTTCGTCGGAGGTAGATGTGGGTTGTTGGCTGGAGTGATCCAAATCCCACAACATGTGCAGACGTACTGGCCTTCGATACTTGCCACATACTCTGGCGTACGGCTCTTCCGTGTCATCATCCTGATCCAGGAAAGGCTCATCCATGCAAGGATGCCGTTTGTTGACGGAGGGTACGTCCGACGACTCCATGACCGACAGGTGCGACAGCT